TGCATTACGCGGTTGGGGAATTAAGAAAAGAATGAATAGTGTGTATTTTTCGGTGGGAATTGCTTAAAAAAAAGGGTTAATATCACGAAAAATCCAAAATTGGTACACTCATGATAAATTTACCCCAAACTAATTTTTTGACCACCAAAAACCCCAAACCGATACACGTATGACAATTTTACCCTTCGTCTGTTTCCGTTAAATTTTACTGTCAAATTTCTGAATTGGATGACACGTGGCAGTTGACGAATGTATCAGTTTGAGATTGTACCCTCCGTTTGTCACATATGTAACAGTTTGTGATTTTTCGTGGTATTAATCCAATTTAACGGAGAGTAAACTTTGGGATCTTTTGTAGTCAAAAAATTAGTTTGGGGTAAATTTATTACAAGTATATCAGTTTGAGGTTTTCCGTGATCAAAAAATTATTTTGAAATAAATTTATCACGGATATACCAGTTTAGAGTTTTTCGCGATACTAACCTGAAAAAAAAAATCACATCTTCCTACAATTTCATATGGAAGAAATTCAGTCCATCCGAACATAAATTTTAAGATGGTACTTGTGCTCTGCCCCTCCCTTGATACGTACCAATGACAATTTGACTATTAAGCCCAAAAGTTTTGTGCGACCCAAGTAGGGATCCGTTTTTCTCATAATGGATCTTCTCTGTAAAATGTCATTAGGTCCTTTTCATCACATCTAATCTCTAATCTATTCTAATATATCTTATACTTAAAGATGAATGTTCGCAATAAATATAATTGACAAACATAGAAAGTTAAGAGAAATTTAACATTAGATAATAGATACCAAATACAAAGTCGATGTACGGACACAACGCGACCGCTAGTGTGCGAAGCACTTGCATAGAAATTTATGGGTCCCATGGACCAAATTCATGCACTTGTCATGGAAAAAAAAGGCCTACTATCATTGATAAACGAAGGCAATAATCAATTAGGTGTGGCCTCGGAACATTTGTTAAGTATATCATAACTCATGCGAGAGTTTAATATAAAGATTAAAGTTTGGGAGAACCAACCGATTAACTTTATCCTCTTTGTCGAGATCCTTTCACTGTCATTGCAATACAATCATTGCAATACAAAGGGCGATCGCACTATTGCGATGCATATCAACAATACTTAATTCGACGTATCATACTATACCTGAATCAAAAGCATATAAAAAGACTGGTACACAACATTTACATCTAGAATATCAGAAATTGAATACTTTGTATAGAACAAAAACGAGAAGCTGGGCCCTTACCACCGCAATGGGTAGTAACATCTTCATCTCTGATGGAGACGACTTCCTGTACTGCCTCTTAACAAGTTCGATTTGACTAGGAAAATGGGTGCGTGGTCACGCACCTTCAAAAGGCGCAATGATCTCCACAAAAGTTAGCTATAAAGTTAGGATTATTGCTAACCCTTTTGCCCATTAACCTCTTACAAGATTCTCGGATTATTCGCAGGCAGTGTTCAGGCTCTTATGTGGGCGATCGACCGACGTGTGTATTCGAAGCTAATTATGTAGGCGAAATATTTCATATGCCAATCATTATGCGGTGGATCTGTAAAACAATTCTTACGCCGACAGTGAAGCTAATAAAAATCCGGACAGGATAACTAGAAAAACAGCTATAAAGTTCGTGATCGAATAGCCCATGATTTGCACACGAAGCCGATTCCTTTTGTCGCTCAAAGTATAGGGGCCTCTGGAATCATTTTTTCTCAAAAAAAAAAGCCGATTGGATTAAATTCTTTAATGCGTATTGCAAAATTCGCATGGAGAGCGACCCAATTTAATTAAATCAAAAGTATAAAAAAGTACTTCTTAATTCTTAATTAATGGTCTAAAAAAAACAATTGTTTCTCCACAATGGAGTTTAAAGAAAATGAAAAGCTCATTGGGGAGTGTAGGTAAGGACCCTGTCTGCAATCAAAAAGGGTCCTTTTGATTCTCAATCATGCATATAACAAGGCCTCGAGCCCATAAAACCCCTTTAATCTAATAACCGGTCCCAAAAGGTTTACATCTCACGTAGCCATGGCCTATCAAATCACAGTTACATCAAACATATAAGCAGTGATGAAACTAAACGTTACTTTAATCACTACTTATATGTTAAACCATCTACCCTTTTTTATTTGGAAAGAGATAGGTAAAAGAATTCGATTACCCGACTTCTCGGGAAGGATTAAGGGTAAGAACGTTTAGTTTCAGACGTGGATTTCGACTCTCACGCTCTGTAAAAAGGCGAGACAAAGGTCTAAGAGTGAGTTAAGAGTTAAAGTAGAACAGATAAAAAAAAAAGTAACGAGTCCATTTGCATGGCTTAGATGGCACAATTCTACTCGAGTTTCCCATGAAGAAAATTATTCAAAAAGTTCTAAACATATTGTACAGAGATCTATTCAATTTTAAACCTTTCAATTGTGCCAATTTAATCTTAAATATTTTGACGATTTTCCTATTTAGTCCTCTCAGCCAAATATCCCAAAAAAAATAAGTTTAGGATTAAATTGACAAATTTTCAAAAGGTTTAGGACTATATTAGCAAATCGTAAAAAATATTTTGGATAAAATTAACACAATTGAAAGATTTAGAACTGAATTGGCTATCGTACAATACGTCTAGGACTTTTTGAACACTTATCCCATTTCTCATGTGATCAAGTGCAAAAGATTTTTATGTTTCGGGGTTACTCAGATCCCGACACGCATAGTGCCCGATCTATGGAGATGGTGGGGTATTTCATGGGCCGAAGTCATGCGTCAAGAGGCAAAACAAAATGCTCTCACTTGACAATGGCAGACCATGCGGTAGATGAAATTGTGACAGCGTTACTCTTTTCGCCAAGCTTTCAATTCACTATGCAGCAGATGAAATTGACCCCGTTTTCCTTCATGCCCCCTTCTTTTATTTTAGCCTTTTTTCCATCTAATTTAAATAAAATTTTGGGTTAAAAAATCATATTTGGACTAACGACCTCGTTTAAGCCTTACCCTTCATTGGTGCAAACAAGTCCTTTTTTTTAAAAAAAATTTGCTTATTTTTTATATAATTTAGATAAATTTTGTATTATCAGATTTTAGCCAAAATGACGTCGTTTCAGCCACACCAGCGCTATGTAGGATAGAGAAAAAAAAAAGTCAGGTCAACATTTTTCGTTAGTCAAATTGGACGGATTTCACGAAATAATTTACAAATTTTAGAACTCAATTATACTTTTTCTTTTTCCAATGCCAAGCTTTAAAGCAGCTGGAAGGTCAAGCTTCCAAGCTTGCGGCCGCCATGGCCGCTCGAGCTCGAAGCTTGGCTCGAGTGTCTGACCTCAATCTTCGAAGCTCGTGGATGGTTGGGCAAGCGCTGATGAGAACCACTGGAGGCCAAGATAGCATTGGCCAGCGAAGCAAGAGCGTCAGAGGAGTTTGGCCAAGCGATTGAAAATGATGAACGCAATGAACAAAGTGATGGAGAAGACGATGAACAGTGCAATTTTTTCTTTTTTTTTATTTTTCCAATGTGGTGTTCGTCGCATGGCGCCACATCATGGCCATGTGTCTCTAAAAGTGTCACGTAGGATCCACATCAGCTTTTTTATGGTGATTTTGGATGGAAATGCAACAGAAGATAAATGTGTTACAATGAGTATAGTTTTGGATTTTTGGTGGCTTTTCCCAATAATCAATATGTAAAACACGAAGCTAACTTTCTTCTAATGTCATAAGAATTGGTGCGCGGGCTCAAGATTATGCTCATCCACGATGAAATTTTATGAATACACTATTCCATTATTTAAAGTGATTAAAGTGACAAAATATAAAAGAAAAAAAAAGTTGATTATTTTAACAAATAAATAGATGTAAAGTTTAACATATTGTTATTCCTATGTAAAGTTTGTCCTCTCGTGATTATTTTAATTAAATAAATTTTTCTAAGGGACAGTGGTATCACAAAATTTTTTCATGATATCAAAGTAGGAAATAGTGATCCCATAAAATTTTTTATGATAATGATCCTAAAAAGACTTTCATTAATACTAGTTGCGGTATGAAAATTAATGATTATAAGGTTTCTTTTTATGAGTACAATGGCTATAAGATTGATATCGAATCAAGGGTTAATACCCCAAACTGATACACATTTGACAAACTTACTCAAAATTAATTTGTTGACTACAAAAATCCTAAACTTGTGCACTTGTGACAAATTTAACCTAAACTAATTTTTTTATCACCAAAAACCCCAAATTCAGTACTAATTTTTGGTACATCTGTAACAAATTTACCCTTCGTTGCTTTCGTCAAACTTTGCCATTAAATTTGCCGACATGGATGATACATGATGACATAATTTTGTCAGAAGTGAATCGGTTTGGGGTTTTTCGTAATCAAATTAGTTTGAGTAAATTTGTCACATATGTACCAATTTAGGGTTTTTCCTAGTATTAACCCTTGAATCAAATAGGTACAATTAGTGCTTTTTTTGGTCGATAATTTGGCATAACTATTTAAGATGTTGATAAAATTGCAATTATAATAATAGGAAAAAAATGAAGTGAAAATTATGCAAATGGTTCATAAATTTTGATCCAACGTGTAACATGATCTTTGAATTTTTAATTTGTTCGATATAGTCCCTAGACTTTAACACGATGACAAAGTGGTCCCTGAACTTTTAAATTATTTAATGTAGTCCCTGAAATTTTGGTACGTGTTCAATTTAGTCCATGGACAATTATCCCCGAACAATTGTTCCCGAACTTGAATTAATAGAAGGACAGTATTGAACGTTTTTAATATAATTCATGGATTAAATTGAATATTTATCAATTATTCAGTGATCATATTTAAAAGTTTAGGGATCGCATTGCATATTATGCCAAAGTTGGGGGCCATTTTTGTTATTATCCAAAAACGAAAGACGCGGAGAAAGAAGCCAAGCAACGGCCTCTGCTTAAACCCTGGATGCTCTCCCCAAAACCCTGTTCTTGAACCTCTCGGCCTCTCTTCCGCCCAAAAACCACCGTCTTCTGCGGCGGAGCAACCCGATCTTCTTCCGCGGCGACACACAACACACGCACCTTCTCGTTCAGCCATGAGATCGATCCTTCCGAAGCGCATCGGCAGATCCTCTCCCGAGACCCACCCCCTTTCGCAGGCCCCGCGCCGAGCCCCTCCCGGCGACGCCGCGCCCGCCGTCTGCGTCCGCGACCGCGGCCTCGACCACGCCGTCGAGAGAGAGAAGTTCTTGATCCCCGTCGTCAACCTCAAGAACCTCCTCAAGTCGGAGCCCTCGAGGTCGCTCCCCATCTCCGCCATCGCCGAGTGCAGGGACGACCTCCGCATCCCGATTCGGCCCATCGACTTCGTTCGCCGGTACCCTTCGATCTTCGCGGAATTCTTGCCCCGGAACGTCGGGGTCCACCCCCATTTCAAGCTCACGGATGAGGTTCTGGAGCTGGATGCGGAAGAGCAGCTGGTTTATCAGAGGGAGAGCTACAGGCAGGAGGCTGCGGATAGGGTCCTGAAGCTGCTGATGATGTCGAAGGTCCTCAAGATGCCGTTGGACATTATTGATGAGCTGAAATGGGACATGGGTTTGCCCCAAGATTTTGTTCAGAGCATAGTTCCGGAGTTCCCTGACTATTTTCGAGTAGCGGATGGCGAGGGAGTTCGAGTTCTTGAATTGGTTTGTTGGAGCAGCGACTTGGCGAAATCGATCATGGAAAAGAGAGCGGTTAATCGTGCGAAAGGTACGCCAGTCGAGTTCACTATGCATTTTTCAAAAGGTTTTGAGGTGGATAAGAAGTTAAAGAAGTGGATTGACGATTGGAAGAAGCTCCCTTACATTTCCCCTTACGAAAATGGGTTGCATTTATCGCAAAGTAGTGATGAATCTGATAAATGGGCTGTTGCTGTCTTACATGAGCTTCTAAATCTTTTTGTTTCCAAGAAGACAGAGAGGGATACAATGTTTTGTGTCGGGGAGTATTTGGGGGTTCGGTCGAGGTTTAAGAGAGCACTGCTTGATCATCCGGGCATCTTTTATGTTTCGAGTAAGAATAGAACCCACACTGTGGTTTTGAAAGAGGCATTTAGAAGGGGTTCCTTAATTGAGCAGCATCCTTTGATGGATATGAGGAATAGATACATTCACCTGATGAACACGGTGAAGGAAGAGAAGAAAGCGACCACCACGTCTGGTTCTAAGCAACCGAAGAAGGTCTCCAATGGTTCTGAGCATCAAAGAGAAGTAGAGGATGAAAATGGGGACGAGGATGATGCTGATGGTATGTCAGATTCTGAGGTTGAGGATGATGATGAAGATGACGACTCTGAAGATGATGAGGAAAACGACAATGTTAAACGGACTCGGACTAGAGCTCATACAAATGCCTCACCGAGAGGAAATAGGACTAGGAAGTCAAATTCGTCTCCGAGGCATAATTCTAGAAGTCGTGCTGGGGACAGGTCAGCTGGAGAATCACATAGTAAGAAAACTAAAAGAGTTTTGGCCAAACTTTCTACAAGGAATGTCTAAACATGATTCCACAGGAGATCGACGGAATAGTCAAATGTTTCTGAAGGCAGTGGCCAGTCAAACTTTCTACAAGGAAGACATATGTTCAGGTTCCCTTCTCACCTGAGTCTGCCTTCTCAAGTTAGCATATGACTAGGAATTCGCTCATGTAACATTGTGGATTTCCATTGGAGGCCGATATGTCATTATCCGGTTCTAGCTTCATGCATCTGGAAAGTGGAAACTGAAGATGTGGATGGCCTTGGTTCTTTGACGTTCAATGCAACATAGTAAGACTCAAGTTCTTTGCATGTGGAGCTATCATTGCACCTCCTCTGGCTCCAAGCCTTCTTCCTCTTTCTCTTCTTCTCATCATATTTCTGCAAGGAAGCTCACAGCTGCTCTTTGGGAATGCACTCACGACCTGGCCTCTTTCAGAATGCACAACCACAATGGCAATCTTGGTAATATGCATCGGGCTGTGCCGCCTCCAGAAGGACAATGATGGCAGTTGAGGCGGTGGCGGCGGGTTTGAGCTCTCACTTTTTGGCCAATCTTTCTCCGAGTTCTCCAGATCAAGTGCATGTTGGTTTCTCGATTAGTTTTTATGATCTGGGTTTGTGATGGTTAGGATTGTGATTCTTGTTTGTTCTGGTTTATCTGTAAGAGGGTTATCTATTGTGTTTTTGTTTTGGATGTTTGTGTTTTGCTCCGTGTGTGATCATGGCCATTCTGTCATCACTGCTGGTATGGTGAGTCCACTGAGGTTTTGTGTGATTTGGCTGTTTTTGGTCTCTGTGCAGAGATACACTCATGATTGTATTTCGGTCTGCATCTCTTTATGATCCTAAAATGGCATCAATATGGTCTCAAGCAGCTTCAGATTGTTCAGAGTTTCATTGATCTCGACCCATCTGTGCTTGGCTGCTCCAATCAGTAGAGTACTTTTGTGTGTAAAATAGGAAAAATCGACAAAAAGAGCAGTCTATTATTTGGACATCTTCTCCTTGAGAACTGTTGTGAAGGTTGCCCTCCTTGTTGGTCTGTACATATGAATCAGTTTCAGCCAAGGTCTAGCTCAGCTAATTGCACTTCAGAAGCTTTTATTGGGTATAGATTTGTCTGCTTCTTTGCCTAGTTTCTCCGACATCTGAAGGAAATTATGCTGTTGTCATATGAATATGAATCACTGGATATCGGTACCCTTTTCTTGTGTATTAACCATGCCGACATATCCTAGTCTCATGGATATGTCATTCTCGAACTTATTGCATCAGTAGATACACCTTTGGATTTGCAGACTTGAGATGTCGCATAGATTTTTCTCATAAAATTAAGACAAACAGATCTGGGAAAAGTTGATCGAACTCTTCTCTCCCCGTCAAACCTTGCAACTGACTTAAAGCTAACTGACCAAGAAAACAGGAAGAAGAAACCTGACTCGAAGCCAAATAAACATCAAGAGAGCCTATCTTAACACGGATTTTCTAACTGATCTGGGGGGTTACGACATTCATACAAGAGTGAACTAAAGAAAGCTGACATAACTACGCTTCGGCGAGATGCTTGACATTGATGGGATAAACTTCAGTACTGAGAGTAGATATGAAAGCCTTGGTTGCTATCTGAACATTCACAGCCTCTGTCGGATGCAGCCCGTCGAAGAAGACGTGGGAGCTCCTGTCCGCGCACGCTCGTCCCCCTCTTTTGCACAACACTCCACTCCCTCCTTCCTTTAACGATGCTACTTCGCAACACGGCCAAGTAGTGTCGCCGAATCCTGAAGACAGTAGACTGATTGCTACCATTCTTCCAAGTATTACACAATTAATCTGACAGAACTCTGAGGTCGAATCCTCAAGTCGTTCGATATGTGCAGTAGATGTGAGTTTAGTCCCACATCTCGTGCACGTGCTTATACATTAGTACTACAGTTTTTTCTAATAGGCACCAAAACCTTTAATGTTACTAATCTCTCGAATGCTTGCATACCCCATGTGTGCAATTTACCTATTTTTCTGAATTATAAGAATTTTACGAAAACGACGAGGATGATGATAAGAAATGTGCTCGTACCTTTGGAGGTGGGGTTCTTGATGATGTCCCTAATGATCTTGTAAGAGTTGACAAAGATGAAACGCGAACCGGGAAGCTTCGGATTCAGGTCATCCACGAGCGACTTCAACTCGATGTTGAAGAGATGAACGGCCCGGTTCAAGACTTGCAAGCAACCGATATGTACCGGCAACCTTGCCTTTGCCATGGGGCTACAGCCTATCGGGTTTATTGCCATCAACACGAACTTCCTCCCTCCTAATTTGTACAGCTTCTGCTCTCCCCCCGAAAGAAGAAGAAAGTAAGTTTAAGCTCGGCCATTTAGAGGACTAAATATGTGGCGATCTCAAATTCTTTGCCCGAAAATTACAATTTTATTTAGGCATTTAAGTATGCGGAGCATGTTAATTCTCTTCATGAGGAGGACACGATCTTTCATCACGTAACATTTAGATGATCCAATCAATAATAGTAACAATATAGAGGATATATGTTGAAGTGAAAGATCGAGATTTCGTATCAATTACTATAGGCACCGAATCTATGTGATTTGCCTCGTTATTTTCAAATCCTGGATCGCCACTGACTTTTACATAACTTGTGTCAGCAAGTCTCAATGAAGAGCAACTCCATGTACGTACATGCAGCCCGTCAGCGTCAAATGAAAGATTCGGGGGTCCAAACTCTCGGGTCTCAACTCCAAGGAAAACTCTCTCTCTCTCTCTCTCTCTCTCTCTCTCTCTCTCTATATATATATATATATATATATATATATATATATATATATATATATATATTTATTTATTTATTTCTTCAAGATAAAAAAAATTATTTCATGTTGAGCAAGCTATAATGATAGACGAAGGACAACTTTTGACTGCCATGAATAACGTGAATCGAGTATTTTAATCGGGCATCATAAATGCGTGGCTACATTTTCGAATCGCACCTACGTAAGCATCCCATTGCCCTAGTTTTACAAGTTCCGATGATGAAGTTAGAAGGTAGCCTTTAGTTCTTTTGAGCTTGAGACGTGAGATTCTACATCTTTCGTGTATGACGTTGGTTAAATTCTCCTAGATTCCTAATCGTGATGCTGGTTCTTCTTATTTTCGTGAACAAGCTGGGAAAAAATCACCGCAATAGTCATTTTTCATAGACCTATGTTGAGTAAATATCTATTTCTATATACAAAAAGGCAACGTGTTCTCCGACTATCTTGATTGGAAGAAGTTTCTAATACCCGTATCTCTTATTTGCGTGCTACAAGTCACACATAATTTTGGTTGAGTTTGTACGTGATTGATGTTGATATCGATCGGAGTAACTCCCCTCCCCTCCAGCATTAACAATTGCCCCTTGCCCCATGCAACACGCCATGACAATATTTCCAAAGGAAATAGTATAGAGTTGATAATGGACAACAGTAGAGTGTGGAATTGAATGCACCTGGAGCTGCAGAGACAGAGAGGAGATGAGATTGGCAGTGAAGGACTGAAGGGTGAGGTTGCGGTTGGCGCTCAAGAAGTAGTTGAAGGTGTAGTCGTTGCTTCCTGTCCCCACCATGAACACGTAGTTCTCCGGCAGCGACTCGCTGCTCCGGCAACCCACCTGGGCTTCCAGCTCCGGCAACGTCACTCGCTCGAAGTTCCTGATCTGCTGGCTCAGGCTCGTCACTTGTCCCTGATTGATCAGTTCACCAAACCATGAACCCAGATGATTGAAAAGCTAAGCCAGCAGATGATCGGTTGTTCTAATAGCTAAGCCTAGGGCTGGACCTGCATGGATGGCCGACTGAAACCAAATGGTCGAGGCGAATTTTCTAGCAGACAAAAGCCAGTTCGATTGTAGACAAAGAGAAGCATGTTGCAATTTATGGGAGTTTACAAGAAGAAACAGAAACACCACATTAGTTAACGAGTGAATGAAACATGTATATTTACATCTCCTATTAATGATGATGACTTGCCATGTGCATGTTCTTCCTTAAGGGAAGGACATGCAATTTTCTTCCTTTTTATCAAACTTGTCATTGTGTGAAGATTGTGATCAAACCCCTACTTAGCTCTTACATTTAAGCGATGTGAGACTCTTAGCATGCTTCCTTTGGCGAAACGAAATCAAATGGGAAGTTCTTAATTAACGGCGCGTGGTCGAGAAAAAACACTAAATTTAAGAAATTGCGGAGATGGTAAATCTCAAAGCCGATATGAGAAGTCATCATATGAGGAGGTCACAAGTGACCGAATAATGTCCCTCACCGCGATAGAGCCAGTGTCGTCCAGTATGCCGGAGCCGCCGGACGCGAAGTTGACGCCATTGATGACCTTGAGCCCCTTGGTCGAGGGGTCGGCGAAGGGCGGGATCAGTGAGGGGAGCTCAAGGAACTCTCCAAGGAGGTCGACCACGTTCCTGCCGTTGGTGAACCGACCCGACGGGCCGAGGGGGAAGTCGATGCCGTAGGGCGAGTAGTCGGCCTTCGCCATGTTGTGGAGGAAGTTGTTGTTGCCGTTGTCCATCAGCGAGCTCCCGAACACGAACACGCCTTTCACTTTCGAGGGACACTGGTGGTGGTCGTTTCTCCCTTCGAAGCTGCAGTGTGCGTGGACATGGGACATGTAGGGACAAGTTACGAGGAGGAGGAGGAGGGGGAGAACAAGCAGGGATGGTGGGAGAGAGAGTGGCTTGGCCATGTTTAGGGATGACGATGAAGAGGATGAAAATGGCATCAGGTTGGTGATGTTTTATATGTGCTCGAGATCAGGAGTCGAAAGAGCCCATTGGCTGTCCTCTTGTTTTCAAGAAGAGACTCTTCTTGAAAACGTGTTTTGGTTCATGAAACTAAAATGTCCAAGATGAACATAAACCCTAGAAATGGTTGTTAGAAAATTGACATCAGTTTTCACCGTTTCCTGGATCAGCTGAGGCAATTCCGCAAAAATGTCCCACACCGTTGGTTGAAGGACAGTTGATGAAGTTCTCATCTGTAGACATCAAGCTCGTTTTCGTGAGGTAACATTCATGAGGGTTCGGCTAGCTCATTTGCCATGTATTCTCGTCAAAAATTGCAAGGGGAAAAGTGCCAAAATAGCCATAAATCTAATCAATTTATACTAATTCAGTCTTAAACCTTTCAATTGAGCTAATTTAATTCTAATCATTTTCGCATTTTGCCAGTTGAGTCCATTTGTCAAATTTTTGGTTGGAAATCGTTAACGTGACATGTCCAACGCTGACGTGGACAATTTTTACAATTTTATTGTAAAAATTAAAATTTTAATTATTTTTATTATTTTCTCTTTTCCCTTTCATGCATGCCGGCCACAGGGCGAGGGCCAGCAAGCCCTCGCCCACGGTCGGCGAGGCCACGAAGGCCTCGATAGATCTGAGCGAGAGGTCCTCACCGAACGCGAATGCCTCGCCCAGGTCCTTCGCGGCCCCACTGACTCTAGGCAAGGTGACCCTCTCCCAGTATGAAAGGAAAAAAAAACAAAACAAAAATAATAACAATAAATACTAATAGAAAAATTATTTCAATATTATTTAAAAATATCTAATCAGCGCCGATCGTGCCACGTAGGATGGCCGGCATTCACGACAGTGATTTCCGGCCAAAACTTGCTAGATGAACTCAATTGGTAAAATGTGAAAATGTTTATGACTAAATTGGCCCAATGAAAATATTTATAAATAAATTAACACAAATATAATAAGTTTAGAATTGTTTTGGTACTTTTCCCGAATTGAAACTGGCACTTTTGTTACCTTAATCAAGTCTAAAATCAGTGTTGTCGAGGTCGACTATGTTGTACCCAATTCAGCTGAAATGCGCTTGGTTTGGAAACTAACCACGTAAAAAATTCATGGAAGGACCTGAAACTTATAAGCAAGTGGCCCGACATCATTAAAATGTTTGCTTCTGGTTCGGTGGCGACCGGAACAATGCCCAATGGACATTCAAGGCTTCGAAATAGAATTTGCTTAATGAATGTAGCTAAATATAGACAGGTGTGGAAGTATTTATAATCATGCAACCACGTACGTACTTCTTCTGAGATATGGCCAGTCATGCCACCAACCTTTTCCGGCCATGTAAATCAGCAATAACTTGGCCCACCCACATCTCCGGCCTAAACCCTCATGCTCGGGCCATAATATACTAGTGAATCAATCGTAAATGGGATCGCATTAAAGTCGAGAGACCACACTGAACAAATTGAAATTTCGAGGGTTATGTTGCACATTAGGCTAAAGTTCAGTGACCACATTAAATAAATTATATGTTCAGGGACGACATTGCACATTGGGTCAAAGTTCAGAAACTATTTGTGTCATTATCTCTAATCGTTTTCCAAATAGAAGTCAACATCAACATCAACACAGCTTCGCTTGTCCGTAATAGCGATCCAGATGACCGCCGTCATCTTTAGGACATCAATGCGAGCCTAGACAACCCCTACGCGCATCAACTTGAAGTAGCTGAACCAGCCCCCCACGACCAAGAGCAACGTCATACTCACCATTGCAGCGAATGCATAGCCTGAATATCGAATAGCATGACTGCGATGTTTAAAGGAGAAATAGACGTAACCACGATATTGATAATGTCGGCAGCAGCAAGGTTTACATAGAAGAAGCCATTTGCTTGGCTTTGATCCGTTGCGCCTTGATTTGCTTCATTGGAGACCTCGAAATTGTCCAAGGATGTGGCGGAAGCACCTAGCGAGTTTGGATTTGAACTCCCTATCACAAGCTCAAATGTTGCATTAGGAATAGGTTGATAGACGTTTCCGCCTCGAACTCGGCAGTGTGTGACCGGACTAGTCTGTCGGCGTCTGAATAACAGACTTCACATCGGTCCACCAAACTCCACTTAAGTGCTAGATTAGGAATGGGGCCCGGGTCCACCAAATTCCGTCTAATATAATTTAATTCCTAATTTGAAGGACGAGAAAGTTCCAACCATCAAAATGGGGGAATGAAAAAATATTAAGATTTCCTAAATTATTTATAAATGTGTAACTTTTTTTATCTTTTCGTAAATTTTTTCTTTTCTTATGTTGGGTAAAAATAAGATTGCAAATATGAGATTTATATCTTATACCCAATAACCTACTACTTGAACCCATGTGAATCTCAAAAGGAACTCTAAGAAGAGGAAACATTGGTTGATTGTCGGGTTGTGGCGGATCCAACCCGACATTCAGCACGAGAAGTCTCCAAAGTTGAATGAAGCAACTAGCATTTTTAGTGAGAAGGTTACGATGGTTAATGGATGAGATTTTCTCCAAGTGGCAATCCAGTAAACCAACAGTTGATAAGTCACCACCTGGACATTAGGACAAAGGCTAATAATGGATTGCCACGCGTTATGAGGACACAAGCTAATGGTGACTTGACACATGCCGTAAGGGTATAAGCTGACATCAAGGCCACTAGAAAGAAATAGGGATAAACCAAATCTTCCCAAACAAGCTCTGCTTTGTGCTCATTAAATCAAATTCTCTAAGACATCTTAATTGAACATGGATAATCCAAAATGCTAATATCAACTCTTTAATATTTCCTAGATAGAATAATACTTGTCTAAGCCAGCCTACAACAAATCCCTAAGCAATGGCATCTAACATTATTTCATATGCTAAAATATCCATTTCACACACACACAATATAAAATGAGTAAATTACACATCTACCTACAATATAAAAACTAACTATCATTATTTCGCAAACGGTTGCCCTGACCGTATGTGATTCACTCCATGATCTTCTTTCTTGTAACAATGGTTGTCCCACAATTCTGCTTTCAAGAGATAACTATTTCCTCAAAAAATGCGTGTCCTGGATCCTGGATCCTGACTGTTTTGCCGATTTTAAGTTTCAAAACGATGTCTCAGTGTCCCTCCAATAACCATTCATCGCCAATGTTCATATCAATGGCTACCAACTATCCGACATCGTATTTCGATAACTGGATATGTGGCATTGATGAATACCAATGTCGATTAATACACGCTAATCTCTATGCTTGTCGATAAGCCGGTATATGTGCAGTGACACTCATGCGCCATACACATGATTGTCCATATTCATGTGCTATCCACGTGTTTGTTCTCATTCACGTGTTAGGCGTGTGCTTATCAATGATTAGCTCATTTTTTGTATTAACATATGTCCCCTTTTTAAAAAAGTTAATAGAACTTTACCCGGACTCCACCTATATTATTAATTGAATAATTGCAGTGAATCATCACCTTTAATGATCACCGCTTGCTGTTACGATCCACTGAACATGACTTATATTTAGACATATGAAGAATATGAAACATTAAAAAGTCATAAAATGAAAATTCAGATTAGTAGTTCCAGATTATACACTCCTAATATAATGCTATGGAACACAGAATCACGCGAAAATATAGACCAAGAAGAAACAGAAAAAATTTGTTTTAAGGTTCCAGGTTCCACCTACCTAGAACCTACCTGTCAAAACAGTTCCCCAATTTTTGGAAATTGTAACCTACCCTGCATACCTTAGAATTTGGAACCTACAGGTTCTCACCAGTCAAGTTCTCAGGTTCCAAGTTCTACCCTGAAACCATGCTCACCACTATACCCTACGCACGGTTGGCCAACTCATGGTACCGTATATCATTTCGACACTCCTCATTGGTTATAGTCTACAAATAGTCATCATTATGGAACACATCTTTGGAATCATCATCTTCTGGATTAATGTTTATCTTGGGAAAGAGTATATACACAAAAGATTTAATTTTTACACTTCCCCCATCTTTTCTTTAAGCCCTAGTCTCTTTTGGTCTAAAACCCTTGAGTTACGTTTGATAGAAATTTTATCCTATCCCGTATTTGATGCTTGCCCAAGATAGGATAAAGTCGGATATAAGATGGATATAATCCGGATAAAATTATCCCATGAGGGAGGTGGGATAAAAGTGGATAGGATAACTAATATCCATAACATAAAAGTTATTTTTCTCGAATAACAAACTTGTTAAATTAATAAAATTAAAATAATATTTGAATATAAATAAAATTTTAATTTAATATATTTAAAAAAAACAATAATTCCTTTTTATTTATTCATATTTTTATTTATATATTCAAATTTCTTTCTATCTTATGATATAAATTTCATATATATAACTAAATACATTTAGTATTTATATTTTTTACATACTTTAGGTATATTAGTATAGTTTACTATTTACTAAAATTTTATTAAAGAATGATGGAAGGGGAAAAAAGAATTAAAAAAGAGAAGGGGAAATAATTAAAAATTATAATGGAGCAAATAAGACTGTTGTGACAGATTTTTATTATCTACATTTGTGCAATTTTAATGTTCATTTACATTGATATGACGTTCATAACAAATAATAGACATTGTCAGATATGAAAATATCTGTCTTTATTACTGCGATTCACCAAACAGTAGATAGGATATAGCAAATCTCTTAAATTTCATATCCTATCATATCCAGTCCTATCATTGTTAGAAATTCAGATGACCAAACGCGACATTGGTTTCTTCTTTATTCCTCGTTGCACTACTCTTCATGGAACCCAATCCTTCTTAGTACTCTTCCGCGCATTATATCACCAATTTCGATAGCTTAAAGAGAGATAAACATTCCGATAATTGCCGCTTTTACCTTCTGAACCTAATCGACAAATACGTCTCGTCCTTGGTGTTGACACCTAAATTTTGACTAACCATTTAGTGATTAATTGCATAGAAAATTAGGGATTCAATTTTAACCCCTAAACAAAAATATCAAAATCGCATATCATATAGTTTAGGATCATATAGTTTAATTGCATTCAACATCGGACTGGCGGTGGCGAGTAAGCTGAAAATTCATCGCGTAAACCGAGCTCGAGCACTCGGTTCACTCAAGGGATTGGGGGGCCAAAATTCACAAGTCTAAAAAGCTTTGGTTGTTTTAATTTGAGCTTAAATCAGCCCGAATTAATTTAGCCCATTTGAAATTAAAATAAAATTAAATGATAAAGCCTAAGTCTAAGCCTATTAGGACTAGGAAGCCCGGTTAATTAACCTAGGTTGCGATATAAATATATCATTATGCGTCATAATCAAGGGGGGACTCATAATTTTCGGAGAACACAATTTCGGAGAGCAGGAGAAACACGGGTAGACGAGAGAGAAGACAAAAAAGAGAGAGACTTGGCTGGATCCTCAGAGTCTCATCCCCGAGCTCCCTCTCGGCCGTGCTTTCCATGCTGCACCGCCGTTGCTCGTCACTTGCTCCTGACGACGTTCACTGCTGTCGCTGTCTAGAAGCTCCCGTCCGCAAAGTTACAAGAATACAGAGAGAGAACGACGTCCATCGGGGAGGGCGTTAATAAGGGGCAGCCACAATTCAGAGTAGGTATCTTCTGTAGAAGATAACAAGCGAGAGATTGAGGAACGTGTGCAGTGAAAGGGGCCCACTCTCCATCAATTCTCATCTTCATACCTCAGTGTGATTTACGTAGAAGACCATCTCAAGCTTTGACTTCACACACGGACGCACGTTCAACACATTGGAGTAGACTTGTGACGTCTGTTCCAGCAAACCGTGAGCCCAACCGTGACGAAGTTGCAGCCCCGGTTCACACCACCACTGTCGGCCGCGAGACACCGTGAAGCACCGCATTGCCGCCACCGCCACGTCCGTCGGCCACCGTCCTGTGATCCGCAAACCCGATCCGGCATCAAGCTCGAATTTGGAAGTTATCCATAAATTAGGTAAGAAACTTTATCCGATATCGTTTCAAATATTTAAATTCCTAATTCGAGTGATTTTGTTGTCTTTGGTTGGTTAGCAGATATATTTGAATGATGCATGGCATATTCGCAAGATTCCAAAAATACACTAAATTAGGAAATTCCTAACTTAACAACGTGTCGGGACGACTATCCGATCTCAACCATGAGATACGACACTCGTTGGCACGGAAAATCTTTATCCTGTCCATAACTATTTGGATACGATAATAGATTTTATTTTGTTCTCAAATTCAAACAAATAGCCTTCCATCAATATCCATAACCACATGGATATGATCGCCGGTTTATATCGTTTCCCTAATTCAAAGATAATAAAACAAATCTTGCGGATCGCGTGGATTGGTTTTGATCGTGGTGGTTATCTGTCTGTTTGATTTATTTCTTTTAAAAAGAAAATTCCAAAAAAAGATTAGTTAGGATTTGAATTGATCTTATTAGAAGATAATGATGCATGTTTAGGATAGGTTTAGAATAACTTTCTTTGAATAAGTCGATAGGATAACTTTTTAATTTAAATTAGGAACTAGAGTAATTTATTTCCTAGTTTAATTTAGATATTATCCTGATCTCGATGGTTCATTTTAGGATATTTAATAATTTCGAATTTTCATAAAAATACCAAAAAGAAGCCTCTTTAGAATAGATTAAATTATCTTTTTTTTAGAATAGATTGCATGTTAATTTAGGCATTTTTTTTAATTCCGAATTTCATTGAAAAAATACCAAAAATAAATCATTTGTCCGTCATTAATTAGGTCACGTCGTCGCATGACATATAGTTTGCATGTTGGGCTGCATTAATAGCGTGTTAATTTTTGCACATTATTACATATAGGTTAGCTTTCATTTAAATAAGTGAAAATCCAAAAAATATTGAGTGAACTACTTGTTAATTAGAAATTATATTAGGATTGATGATGTGATTTTCTAGCTAACAATGCAGATACTTATGTTGCTTCGAGGTAAGTAATTCTCCCAATCTTGCAATTATTTAATGTTTTGATTATTGGGTGTTACTTTGGTGGTTTGCGCACCCGCATGATCACCTCACATGCTAGTGACTAAGTTAAAATGGATCCAAACTACATGCATAAATATTTTTGAAAAGAAAAGGTACCGAAAGGGCGTTAGACTAGATCTAGCGTAATCAAGTCCCCGAGTTTAGAATCTTTGGTTCGTAGGAATAAAACATATCTCCCTATGTTTTATTTAGGTTTCTAATTGACCTACCACAAATAGATTAGTGGCGACTCCAAGCATGAAAACTTTTGCATGTTAAAAACTTAAACCCTAAGTTGCGAATTGGTAGGGCCTGGGAGGGCCCGAGTTAGGCTTAGTCTTAACAATCCATTAGCCTGAGAAAATTTAGGTCGCGACACTTGATCTCTGGCTCTCTGCTTCCAAAGTCATCTTCGAATTCCAGCTTCTCTTAAACCCTAGTTTCCTCACAGACACCTCTCGTTTCCGAGGTTTCCTTTCTTTTGAATCTGATTTCCACATATGGTACCTGCGGATGAAAGATGATCTTTGAATACAATTTTTTTGAAAAAAGGCTAGGGTCGAGACTACTCTACAACTTAGGGTGCGTATGGCAACGATTCTGTGCCCGAGAACTGATTCTGCTCAGAAATAATTCTTTTTTATTCTGTGCCCGGTAACTGATTCCGAGCATTTGAAGGCGTTTGACAACGATCCAAAATCTCCATTCCTAGAATAGAAAAAGAACAGCAATGCGATTAGTAACAGCACAAAATTTCTTTTCATTAATAATATTTTTAATAATTTTTTAAAAATATTTTAATATTTCTTTCTTTCTTTTTCTTTTTTTCCTTTTTTCTTCTCCTTCTTCTAGGCCATAGCCTAGTCACCGGCCATATCGCCGGCCATAGGCCAAGGCCGGCGAGGGCGTCGCAGCCCTCACGGGCAAGGGTAAGTGCTGGATCCTCGCGGCTTGGAAGAGGGCTGCCCTCACCGGCCTTTTCCAGCCCTCACCCAAGCCGGCGAGGGCCGCCTTCGAGGCTCACGGCCTGGCCGAGGGCCGCCCTCGCCAGATCTAGCGAGGGCTGAATTTTCACCGCCACGGACGACTCTTGCCGGCTCGGGTGAGGGCTAGAAAAGACCGGCGAGGGCCGCCCTTGCCTGTGTCGCCGGTGGCCGGAGAATGAAGAAGAAGAACAACAACAAAAAGAACGGGAAAGAAGAAGAAATAAAAATTTTCTTTTCCAATTCTGATTCTTGTTCCCAGAATCAAGAAACTTTTTTTTTTTTTTTGCTTCTTGATTCTGTTCCAAAACTGATTCTGGGAATAATTTTTTGCAAATTTGTGTCCGAGAATAAAAATTTTACCAAACGGATTTTTATTCCAAAACTGATTCTGAGAACAAAAGAACAGAAATTTTCACTATTTGACAAGTTGCCAAAGGGACCCTTATCAGTCTGATTTGTGACTTGGACCTAACACTTAATATCGTCGAAACGAGTGAAAATACTCAAGAAGATCACATTAAATTTTGTATTCATTCGAAATAGACTGGATTAATTCTTAATTCGATCGATTTTAAAACTTAATCACACGTTTTTATAAAATTTCTACAATAATTGTACTTCCACTAAAATCTCTAGTGGAAGTGTCTCGCTATACACTGCGTGCGCGATTCCGAGAGAGAGAGCGACAAGGCGAGAGCTGCGAAGGCGAAGAACATCACCACCAGATGCCGCTCAAGAACACCGGCGCCATCAAAGCTCTCTGCTCCATCCCTTCGCTCTTCCTCTCCCTCGCCCTCGTCACCATCCTCCTCTCCTCCCTCTTCTTCCTCCGCTCCGCCACCCCTCCTCCCCCCCTTCCCTCCTCCTCCTCTGCTTCTTCTTCCTCTTCTCCATCGCCCTTCGGCGACCGCATCAGAGTCCACGTCGCGGAGCTCCCCAGATCCCTCAACTATGGCCTCCTTGACAGCTACTGGTCCTCGCCCCACGCCGACTCCAGGGTCCCTGCCGACCCGGACCGCCGATCCGGGCCGACCCATCTGCGGGGACCCGGCGGTTACCCGCCGTACCCCGAGAACCCGCTGATCGAGCAGTACAGCGCCGAGTACTGGATCTTGGGCGATCTCGAGACGCCGCGGGAGTCGAGGGGCGGGTCTTTCGCGGAGAGGGTCGGGAGGTGGGAGGAGGCGGACGTGGTTTTCGTGCCCTTCTTCGCGACCCTGAGCGCGGAGATGCAGCTCGGGAGGGACAAGGGGAGGTTCAGGAAGAAGGAGGGGAACGAGGATTACGGGAGGCAGAGGGAGGTGGTGGATCTCGTGAGGAGCTCCGAGGCGTGGAGGCGGTCGGGGGGGCGGGATCACGTGTTCGTTCTCACTGGTATTGGTTCGAGCTCTGATCGTTTCTTGTTTTGCGATTCGTGTTAAACTGAATTTGATGTTAGCTGTTGCCTTACGAATCAATAATTCTTGGCATTTTATGCTAAATTATGTGACCCTTTGTTAGATTTTGTTTGCTGTTCCAGTTTCTTTGTTCTCGCATCTCCTGCAATAGAATCGATTCATGTTGTGGCTAGAATCCTGCTTTTCTGAGTATATCCCCATGGATGCGTGCCTTTGTAATGGGATTACGTGTAAACTCTGCTGAAGATGAGCAATGTAGTAATTTTTAACTTGACAAGTACACTATTGCGTAGCGGTCGTGCGGATAGAGCAATGCTAATCCAAAGGGGTAATGTGTGTCTTAGGAACTTATGCTGTATCTCTGATTGTCAGGTTATGTTAAACGTTGAAGCATTGTTTCGCAGACCCAGTTGCAATGTGGCATGTGAGGGATGAGATCGCCCCGGCTATTCTCCTTGTGGTGGATTTTGGTGGATGGTACAGGCTCGACTCTAAGTCTTCAGATGGTAGCTCGTCTGATATGGTACACCACACGCAAGTTTCGCTGCTCAAGGATGTTATTGTGCCGTACACCCACCTACTTCCTAGGTTACATCTATCGGAAAATCAGAAACGCCAAACCCTTCTTTACTTTAAAGGGGCTAAGCATAGGCATCGGGTAAGTTATGCTTTATTGATTACAGGAGAAATGATAGCTAAGTTGATGTCTACTTCCTTTTATGGCTTCCTAAAGAGCTAGTGCTATCCTAGGATGATTCATAGACTAGGCTGTAGTTTCGAGCACTTTTTTAATGTATCAATTTTGATGTCTTTGTGTTTGCTATTTTGTTTAATTGGGATTCAACAGTTGTCGGCAATGGCCGCTCTCTCTCAGACAGTACCCGTACTTGGGCAACTATCCACTTTCATCTGCTTTTAGTGAGAATGGTGTATCGCGAGCAGATGGATTAGTCTGCAATATAAGGGCAAGCTCTTTTTTTATAGGAAGTCATTGAGATAACATGGCCGGCTAATTCATGATAGCGATCAAACCTACAAGTTCCTTCCACTACTTGGATCTTCTTTATGATGCTTTGTTGCTAAAGATTGTGTAACAGGGCGGCATAGTTCGAGAGAAGCTGTGGGACTTGCTGGTCGAGGTGCCCGGTGTGATCATGGAAGAAGGCTTCCCTAATGCCACTGGGAGAGAGCAGTCCATTAGAGGGATGAGAACTTCTGAATTCTGCTTGCATCCTGCTGGGGATACACCAACTTCCTGCCGACTTTTTGATGCCATACAAAGTCTTTGTATTCCTGTCATCGTCAGCGACAACATTGAACTCCCATTCGAAGGGATATTGGATTATTCAGACTTTTCTGTTTTTGTGGCTACCGCAGATGCCTTGAGGCCAAACTGGCTCGTAAACCATCTCAGAAGCTTTTCTGAAGAGCAAAAGGATAAATTTCGTCGAAACATGGCGAAAGTGCAGTCAAATTTTGAGTACAATAGTGGCCATCCGGGTGGTATTGGACCTATCCCTCCAGATGGTGCGGTGAACTATATTTGGAAAAAGGTGCATCAAAAATTGCCGGCGATCAAAGAAGCCATCATCCGGGAGAGAAGAAAGCCACCTGGGGTTTCAATCCTGCTTCGGTGCCATTGTACCTAAAGAGTATTTCCGATTTATTTATTCTTGCCTTGTTTTAAATTTCACGAGAGAAATGGGTTTAACACAATTCTGATAAGTTGCATAGTTTGAAGATGATTGATCTGTATTACCGATTGCTATTGAAAATCAAGCAAGTAAAGTTTTTTGGAGTTCCTTCACTTCGTCACTTATTGATTGCATCTGGAGATATTGAGACACTTGCAATTATTGCTACATTCATCGGCGATACATGGCCAGGACTATCTATCTTTTCTTCTTTGCTGGAGAGCATATACTTGACATTTACTAAAACTTCGAACAAGTGTTGAGGGTACACGGTGGTTACAATAATGGAGTGAAAACTGCTATTTATTTTGAAAGAGTAGTTTGATACTTAAGAGAACGAGATGTCCATCAACGTCTCGTGAAGAAGGCGTCTCTCTGTAGAAGGAAAGGATACCCTATTCCTCTTCTTCTAGATGGAAACAAGACGAACAGAACACTCACGACAAACCCTACCACAAGAGGAACAACATTCGTCACCTTCTTAGGCAATCCCGGGTAATAGCACCCCACAACGTCGCCGTGCAATGCGGCAAAGGTAAGAAATGCAAACAGGGAAAGCGACGCATGGAATAGGTCCATCCACCTTAATCTGTAATCCGAAGGCACACATGGCCTTTTCCTGCCGCCGTTAAAGGTCCATATGCCTCTAAATGTTGCAATCCCGTAATATACCCTGCCGGTAGCTGTGCGAAAGCTGTCGGTGAATGTAAAGAAGAGACATGAAGCTGCTGAGATGACCAAGAAGGAACCCATCAGCCAGCGATTCAAAGGCGTGCACCTGCCATCATTCGTCAAGAGTGGAGCGAAAATAGTGAAGGCGAGGATGGTGGCTGACGGCAAGAGAACATTGAGCCGGGCAGTGCCGCTTAAGATCAAATTCATCAGGTATATGCAATGGGATTCATCAGCATCATCATCTTTGAGGTAGGATTGATCACTCTCGTGCTTTTGAATTTCTAAGAGCGATTGGTCGAGCGAGTCGTCCATCTATTATCAGCTCTCGACCATCAAATTCTTGTTAGAGGAAGGGAAGACAATGAGAAGCTGTCATCCCAAACAATGTAGATTAATAGCAGCAGCATGGCACATGAGAGGAGAGATTCTTTGCTGAATTGAGGAGAATTAAGGAAGACTCTGGTCCTTCTAGGCTTCCCTCTGGCAAACTATCCTCCATAATGACTTTTGGTATATGCCTTTCCTGTTTCTTCCCGTGAAGGGCTCCTGAAGATCAGGTATCAAGAAATTGCCCCAATATGAACTAGCGTATCTTCTACTCAAGCTGCTAAAATTTGATTGAGTCTTATAAACAATCTCAGAATTCAGAGGCTAGTTTGCATTTACAATGACCGGTAGATCTGCTTTGCCGTTCTTGAACAAAGTCGTGAGGTGCTTTGCCTGCTCATTTGGTACCTAATCATACGGTATGTAAGTTGAGTAATTCTATGACACTAGTGTGAATTCGGGTCTCTCCGGTTCAACTAGGACCCTAGTTCCTGAATTTCTATGTGAATTAAGATCAAGAAAAGGAAGTTTGCCAATCATTGATTCAAACTCATTGTCGAATCCCCCTCAACAGAATATGTAGGTACTCATAGCAGAATGAGTCAATCTAGACTTACACAATAAAGTAATAGATGAAACTGCCATTAAAAGACTTATTAGTCGACTAACAGATCACTTCAGAATACAAAGCACCATGGATTGCAATTTGGAGTATTCCATGATAACACCTAGACTTCCTTAGGTCCCGGGGTTATGAGCAAATATGGTTTGATAAGTTCTCAAGTTGGCGAAAGCAATTTGCTACATAGCAAAGGGGAAAAATTCATCAAAATTGATTATATGACGAGCTACCGAAGTCAGTGCCGACGGTTGATAGCATCCTTTACCAGGACAACCAACTTGCCCGCGCTACAAATCAGACACCCGATAGGCTGTAACAGAAAATGAACTAAGTAGACTTTTATTTCTCTGAAATAAGCACAAAATTGCTTTGTAACAACCTTTGACTTTTCATTGATTTCAAACAATAGCATGCCTCAACAACCTGGACCCTTTACACTTCCTCAACACTGACCAAAAAAGATATTATCCCATGTTGGATACTGAAACCTATAGAAATGAAACCTATCCCCGGAAATTTGCTAAAAATTGCACAATGACGGGGTGAAGCATATACACTGCAGACGGCATATTTACACTGATAGCGGACAGGCTGAATTTCACTGCAAATAAAAAGAAATTGATAGCCAAAATGGACATTGATCTGTGCAGAAAATCCATTCATGTCCCCTCACGTTGGGATTCCGACTTGGAAGAGTCATCACTAATGGCGCAAATCTCGCAAGTATCAGTAGAACCTTGTGAGCACCAATTGTCTGGGACGCACAAGAAATGTGCAGACATGAACTTTCTGAATCTCTTCTTATACTCCTTTGGAGAGATGACAGTTGGTGACTGATTTTTAGGGACATAGAGCGAGGACTTAACCCATGTCTCCAACTGCTTGTCCCAGGTATACTGCCGAAGATAATCAATTATCCCACAAACAAGCTCTTGCTTCTGCTGATCGACTACCACAAGCAACGAATAGTCCATCACATTAATCGACTGAACAACAGAACAAAAGTGGAGTCAGATAACCGCCATTACGATCTCATTTCTATGCAGATGCACTAAAACTTATGACTACGGATGAAAGGATAGTGCATGTTCAACAGCAAACCCATGGCAAGTGTCCTCACCACAATATGGCATGTAAAATGATTTCTTACCGAGGCAAGATACATAATAACATGACCAGAAAATCACTTCAACTGCCAACTTACATTGAGAAAACTTGTATCATTCCATACAGCCCGTAGTAGGAGACGCTTTGCTTTGTTACTGACGTACAACGGAGATGAGTTCATGTCATTGACAAAATTCTGATCCAAGAGAACATCTCCCACTCCATCAGTAGCTGAATTGAGCCGGGCATGTAGAGCCCCTTTCAGATCGTACTGTCGAGTAATATTTCGACCAAAAGTAAGGTTCTCCATCACCATCAGATCATGCCTAGCTTCTTTTCCACTCTTACTTTGCCTTAAGGTCACCTACATAAGAAGCGGAAATGCTAAGAACATAGAATGTAAATGACGGAGAGGTAGTATGGTTCAAGTGACAAAACCTGGTAGATCCCTAAAACTTTTGCAAGACAAGTCTGGTTCCCAGACTCAAATGAATGTTTCATGTACTTGAAATAGTGGGGGGCAAACTTCTCAAAGGAATCAAATTCAGTCTTCTTAATTTCCTTGATAATGAACCTATCATCCAGAGTCTTAGCAAAGATAGATTTGCTCTTTCCACCTTTTGCATCCCAGTTCCTACACCGGCTTAATGAAGCAATAAAATCAACCTCAGACAAGCAACATGAGCTCCTGAGATTGCGGAACTCATTAGCATACAAACAAACTACTGAGTATTTACCCTTCACCAGCGACTTTGTCACTCCCAAAGATACTTCTGCTTTAAAATTTTCTGGTGGAAGCAAAGAATCCAACAAGACCAACCCATCAAAGCTGCATAACCGTGACTCTTCTGAGAAAGTGTTTCTCGATGAATGAACACTATCTGAGTCCAACGAACCATTTGAAGACCAATAAGAAGTGCTTGAAGGTACCCGAATCATGTTCTGCATATTCTCAGCTGCTTTACTAGCAACCCAACTGTCTGAACGACTATCATCAGTTACAAGATCTGTCATCGCAGGCTGATCATTCAATAAGGCCAAAGCACAAGCAATGATACTCGAGAGTTCACCCTCAGAGTCTGACAAGATATAATTATCATTTGCAAGAGGAATGTGCAGCCTTGAGCCTTCCTCGGATATTAACTGATGAGTTGTGACCAAGTACTCAGAAGTTTGGCTACTAACAAAATCAAATCGTGGTGAGTAGCCTCTTAGAAGTTCATTCATGTAGAACTCCTTAATCTCTGTAAACGGTTTCCAGAACCATCCATTCACACTTTGGCATGTGGAGAAGAGTGAACTCTGCGAAGTAAGACCTTGACTTTCTCTAATGCTGACAAAGGAACCAGATTTCAGGAGACTCATGGAATTCTGAATGGTTCTATGTACACTGGAATGATCAGGAGATGATTGATTCTCTGCTTTGCTAGAGTGATCATAAGATAAGACATCCGATCTTGAAAGGAGATTCTGGTCAGATGATATACTCGAACTTAAATTGTCAGCTGTTGCTCCGCGAAGATCCTCAGAAGCTGTGATTACTTCGGATAGATCATCCTGCTCATGTTCTCTAATGGGACTTTCAATAGGGATATCCTTGACTGAAAATTCTCTTTCTACCTCAAGAGGTTCTTTGATTGGAACCTCTCTAACAGAAAAGTCATTTGCTCCCAAATCTGTCCCTTCATTTCCTCTACCTGCAGCACCGTCCGTATTTGATTCAGGTTGTTGAGCTGCTTTTCCAGAGGAAACAGCAGCCGCCTTTGGAGGATCAGCAGAGAGGAGATAGTGGAGTCGTCTATCCCAAATGAATGATTCAAGTAAAAGCTCCCACAACAACCGGTTCACAGCAAGCAACTTATAAGCGTTCTGGCCTGGATTCTCATTCTTGACAGCATTCTGAATGCTCAACTGATCCCACCCAGAAAAAAGAGTGTCAGTCTGAGATAACAGCTCTTATAGTATAGAGAAAAAGGGCAAGATTAAAAGTCAACCGTGTCTAATGAGAATCAGAAAGCAGATACAAACTACAAACTAGAGGGATCAGCATCCTCTTTCTAATGATCCTACAGAAGTAGCCTGTGCAACACCAATGCAGGTCCGTCATACTTGAAAAAATGCTGAAAATATTAATATTCATCCAAGAAAACACCAAAACAGACTAGGCGAAGTAATGCACCTACTCGGCACAGGCATATATTCGTAGCTTAAGAGGAGCCAGTTTGTTGTTCTATTGAGAAAACATATCTAAACTAGGACAAGCCACAAGAACAAAACAATTACAACATTACAAAGTACTGATCTATTGACCCAGACATGCTGAGTAGTAAGAATAGGAAAACTGAAATTGTGCATGTCAAAAGTGCTCAAATTTTTTTGATAACATTAAAGAGAAAAACCTAGAACACTTCCTATGGAGCAACATAACAGGGAAAAGCCATATATAGAGAACCTTTGAGTGTAGCTCCTCATGCACTTATGTCAGAAGAGTAAGGAGACTACCTCAAAATCATGGCTTTCCTGCTTCAACATCTCTTTGATGTCAGAGAATGCCTTCGGTAAATCTATTTGATGCACAACAGATCCTGCAAATTGGGGCCCTATCTTCTTTAAGGTGCGTTCAACTTCTGCAAATAGCAGCATCCCTTTCGTGTATACCTTAATGCAAAAGGAAATGAAATAATTACTTTCAAGTCAGGTATAAGAAATAAGGAGAAAAAGAGTGGCCAAGCACCACCAAAGTGGAGTGGTGTGTCCAGTGTTGGGGTGAACATGCACTTGCTTTTAAAAACCCTCTGTGTAAGCGCATGTGTGTGCACCTTCTTAACCATTGCAACTCATGATAACAGGTAGAGTAAGATCCCATACTTTCTCAATTTCTTTTGCAAACCACTCTGATCTGATTGAACTATTACACTCCAGTTTCTGGGGTGGCATTGATATGGTGTATGTTGTGACCGGGGAGTATCTGAACATCGCAACAACTGGGCCTAATCTGCATCAGCATGAACAAGCCCGTCAATCTCTCACTTTAGAAGAACAAACCAACATAATATGAATGAATTGAGAAAGGGTGCAACAGAACTAAAATTGAACTAGTCTCTCCCATGTTACCCCACTAAACAGTCAAAAAGAGAACTCTCTCAAATGCAAACTCCAAACAGTTGGGTTCAGAATAGCATAGTGCTTAAACTGTAGAGTAGTTGCCAACTGCTTGGTAAAGCCTCTCTAGGTCGTGCAACATATACTTGTTACAGCAGAGCACATGGAAGGAAAATCAAAATATCATCTTCTTAACTATCCCCAGCCAGGGCATTGCTTGTTCACCTATCTGATGCTAGAATGTATTAAAATATTGCTTTTCCAACCAAATAAGAGAATAAGATCACAGCTGAGGCAACTTTGCATACCCAAAGAAGTAGAGGAAGTCTCTTTGAAGAGAATGCCCACAGCTAGCCAATCTAGCAAACGATGAATGGTAAGAAAAACTGAGCTCAAGGAACTTTCCAAATGACAGGCACCGGGCAGCAGTAGAGATTAAAACTCTTTTCGTTGATCTTGTAGATCCATTGAATCCACTGAAAGGTTTACATTTACCACATCGACTCCACATCCAAAGCTTTCCTTCTCCTTCTCCCGGTAATTGCTTATCATTTGGAAGCCGCTTCACTTGGATTGTTAACTGCTCATTATGATGTGCATAGTAATAGAAATGAGCTTCTGGCAGTCCACCACATGCAGTGCACTGGCTTCTCTGCACAATCAGAAGCCTCTATAAGCGCAATTCTAAAAGAAGACTTCTTAAGACACATGTTAACGATGCAATTTTCCTAGCAAGTTTAGTCTAAGATTAATAAAATAGGAAAAGACAGGCAATGGCCTCTTCAAATTCGAAGCCTTAGATATTTTCTTCAAGCAAAACTAATTCATTTCTCAGAGTAGAAGATTATCAAGAAATTCAAATAGCATTTAACAGACTATCCTGGTAGACAGAATTACAATATACCTGATTGAGTATCTTATCTCGGAGAAACTTCCCTAGGGGAACATCAAAATTCTTGTAGAACGTAATACGAGAAAAATGGCTTTGCTCACACACATTTCCATTAAGGGCATTACGACGAGACACCAGAACTAAAATGCTCTGTGTATCAATCACTGTCATCATGTCACTCTTGTTTTCTATTGGGTCATTTCCATGAGCATCTTCTACCGATTCTGGAAGGACCTCAGAGGAAGCTAAAAAAGACTGGTCTTCTCCTTCATCGGGTGACTTTGCATCGTCCAGACAATCTTTTATGGCCACTGCATCTGAGCTTGCTGACAAGGAAGTAGGACTTTCAACATGACCATTTGGTTCCTTTCTAGTAAATCCCAAATATGACGACAAGGAAGGATAAGAAGAAGCGAGAGGAAAATTGACCCCTATAACTTTCTTCAGTGATGCTGAGAGGCTTGAGAATCCAGAAAATACAACCGGATTATATGGCTCATAAGAAAATGGTGAGCTTCCCCCCAATTCTGACTTCACATGATGGGAATCCCCATCATGGAATCCATTTGAAATGGGAACATCAACTGCACATGAGCTATGATTAGAAGTAGCCTCCCCATCACTGCGATCATGTATACCGTTGGATGCTGAGGTAGGGGATGAATGGTCACTTTGTGATGAATCTGCTATGCCAGCAAAAGGAATGGTTGAGAACATTGCTCTTTGATCAACAAGGAAAGCAGTCTCGAGGATCAGATGATAGGCTACACTGACTGAACACTGCACTATAGACTTAATCTTTTTCAGCTCGTCACTATGACTTCCTTTCAGCAAAATCTGCAACCAAGAATTGGTACAAGGTCAAGCAGGAATTTATCTTCCACAACATGATAAAAGAAGTTGGCAAAAATGAAACTGCCCGGAAGATTGCTAAAACCTGAAATGAGGACTATTGCAAACCATTCTGACCAGACTCAATGGAAGTGTGCATAGATAACCACATCCAAAGGCATAAAGTAAGTACAATGTAGCAAGAGTAGAAAGGCACACGGCCTCTTTGTAAGCAGCACTCAAAGGCATAGCTAGCTTACCTATGTTGAGAATGTATGGTCTCTAAAACTGCATCCATAAAAGGTGCCCAAACTCAATAAATTGTGTAATAATTCAGATATCTTTACCTTAAAAGCTAATCAAAACAACTTAGCATAATCACAAAGAAACTTGGCAAATAAGAGCATATCTGGCCAACCAACAACTGAATGAACTTGTTTCAATCATCCTAATGAAAGAAACGTAATTTAAACTAAAGATCGTAAGTGCCCCAAGTCACTTTTCATACTTCAACCAACTAATTTAGGCCAGCAGTTTCTAATAGCATTGCTGTAGTTTTATTTCATATAACAAAAAGTGTAAAGTGTGGGCTTATTTAAAGTTGCAGATGAAACTTCTATGTGTCCCTTATCAGAAGAAAAATATATGGACCTCCAAATGTACACATGTCCAGAGAATGGATCAGCTCTCCAGTTAAAAGGGAGCCCAGACAGATTTTTTTCCACCATAAGAGAAATTCTAATTACTGATCCCAATCATTACAATGTCAACTAAACTTAAAGATACCAGGAGAAAGAAAGAATGCATGAAAAGAAAAAAAAAAAAGCAAACAACACTCACTGTACAACCAAGTCGTGTTGGACAGCCCTCAAGAAACATCAAAGTTTTGCTCGGTTTCTTCCCTCCTTCAACAAAACCAGCATGCTCCTCCACAAACTTTTCGATACGAAAGGATTCACATTGTTTTAGCTTCTGAATTGCCATAGTATCAGTTGAGACAATTGATGAGCCAGTGCAACGAGCTATTCTTTCCAAGCGATGGAGTTTCATATCAAAGACTAACGTTATTCCTTTTGCGAGAATAGATTCTTGAATATCACGAGAGACTGATTTTTCCACTAGAATTACATTCGGGTGGCACAGTCCAATCATCTCAACAATAGGTCTGAGATAATCCTCCTGTAAACTTTGAATGTCAATGAAGATAGAAAATATCAATAAAATCTAACGTACCAATAAATTGTTGGGTGTAACAGAATGCCTGACATTTTACCTGCTTCATTGCATTAAATGATGACAAACCACTCAATGACTGTCCAAGCATACCCTGAATCAAGAGCAACTTTGGATTCTTATAGTTTGTGGGCATGTGCTTGTGAGCGGCATGCTTTTTGAAAACAAGACCCCTAATTACTTGACTGCAAAACCAACAGTGGCATTATAAACATCTGATATTTTAATCGCAAGTATGCACGCATACATACATCAATAAACGGTAAAATAATTGCAAGAGGAAAACATGAATTGATTCTTTTCCAAGATAGAGTCTCGGTTTGGAAATCTGTTATAAAGCAGAAGAAACATGCAGCAAAACTGTAGCTTCTCCAACATGTTAATAGCAGATTAAACTGAAAACATTTTATAATCAACATAAAAATAAACATGCTACCTAATGTAACTTAGAAAGTAACGGCACACTCACACCACATCCTTTGCATAAACAATCAAATAGAAAATGCAGGCACTATTTGTCCCACTGGAAGAGCATACCAACCTTTGGCTGCGCGTACCAGTTGCTATGCATTTGATCTTTACATAGCCATCTGGACCAACTCCTTTTCCATCAACAGCATCAGGCTTCAAAAGGGAAGCGGCTTCCCATGATAATGAAGTTATTATGTCCGCCCAACTTGCACCACCCTCCATGGAAGGGGCAACACCAAAAGATCTAAGGAGTTGGGTGATAAGGGCCTTAAATTTTCCATTAATCACCTCGTCCAGCGCTTTCTGCTTTTCCTCTTTAAATCTGTAGCTCCCACCACCTTCATCTCTGTTGTTACTCAGAGAACTTGAACCGCCCCATTTTGTGCCATCACCGCATTCATCATCATCGTCATCGTTATAAGCCATACTACCCCGCATGTCATCCTCCGGGTCTTCTGCTTCTGGAGGATCCCAATCTATCTCATCAAGAAATCCTCTAGAATTTCCATTGTTTGTTACTCCATTAACAATTCTACTTTCATTTTCAACACCAATATAATTTACTTCCTGAAGATGGTTAGCCTGCCTATTTTCAACATCAATACTATTTTGTTTATGACCCCTGTTGAACTCTTTAAAATTGTTCTCCATTGCCATATTGGATCCTCCAACTCCGCTGCTAGTTGCTTCTGACATAGAGTCCTTATGCTCCTCCCATCTATAAGAAGAATCTTCTCGACTACTGGGTATAGTACCTTCTTCTTGATTGCTTCTGAAATTTGAAGTGCTAAATAATTAATTAACTTGGTGGCGTGCTTTTACATGGAAGAGAAAGGACAGATGCATACCTATAATTGGGGTTCAGGTCCACTGAAAATTCACCTAAAATGAAAAGATTGAAGTTAGTGCTTATGTATGAGCCAAAAACTAAACTAATGACTTTCTCAAACAAGTGAATATGTACGAGGCAAACTTGACAAAGCCCACAGAAAACTTACTGCAGCTTGAGACGGAGCTGTCACAGCTTGACAATGAAGTTGTTGGACTAATTGTCGGCGTTTCATAAGGGCTCATGACATCCCTCCTTGTAGAATCTCGCTCCTTCATCTTATCACAGAATTTACAGTGTAATAAGATGGCCCCATCATTCAATTTTGAGATAATTTCATTTTGGTGATTCTTGTTCCCATTGGATACCTTTGATAGTTCCGAACCACAGACATGACACATAGTGCACATCTGATCCTTGTATGTCTCAGCAACCACTTATTTTGCCGCTTCAACTTCAGTCACCTTTTAGTTTCAAGAAACACATCCAATGGTTGATAAAGATTGTCAATTTCCTTCCATTTGAAGAAAATAATAATGCTTCCGTAATCACTAGAGGAATACAACATCGACTTTATGAGTAACAACCAAATAAACCGAAATAAGCAAATCCATCAATGTACAACTAAATCAAGCGTCAATAGAATCCCTGGTATGCAATCATTGTTATCATAATTGACTAACGTGGTCAACTCCCAAAGTCCATAATTACTACATACGTAAGCGTTCATCCTACTTATTTTAGCACATATACCTATTTTATATATCACATATTAGACCTACTGATCTTAAGCAGGAAGGCTATTCACATCCTCTCATACAAATCCCATAAGGACTAATATCTGGAAAAATAAAAGTTCACCCGTCCATCTGAGGAAACGGTATGGGTGCATATACCAGCGGGTACAAGCGTTTTCTTGCTGATAAAACCAAATACATTCTTTTGCTACAAAAAGTTGGGAGAGCGATACTACGAAACTCAAGCGGATATGGAGTTAGGACACAAGTGGGCCCTACCTACTAAACCAAGTCTTATTGTCTGTTTGGAATAGCTTATTTAAGTTACTTACTTAAAATTGTCCCAAATAAAAATTAGTCGAAGTTATTGAAATGTCGGAATTCAACATGATTTTAAGTGTCAAGTTCATAGTTTCTAATTCCAAGTATTAGAAGTACAAAGTAAAGTATCTAAAAAAGGTATAAGCAACGCCGAACAAGTATATTAGTTAAGAAAACAACACCCATTACCAAACAAAAAATGACAAATTTACACAATGTGTCGGTTGGGATCATGTATAAAATCCAATGGCAAGAGGGAAAGCAGAAAGATAAGACGGAAAGTAAGTACTACAACAGGAAGAAAGAAAACCACATCAGATCTCTAAAATAACTACGCTAATATGTTAATCCGAAGAAGATTAAGAATGCACTTGCCGTCTATGAGCACATCCCATTAAATCCTACTATAAGATCCATTAGGGAGGGAAGAAAAGCCACATACATCCTGAAGCTGCTACATATGGAATTCGACGTGACAAAATTCGCAACAAGGAGCCAATAAGCGCACTACCCAAATAGGCGTAGAGCGACAAAAGTAGGCTGAACTTTACAAGTCCTCCAAAAACCAAGACTTCCTATCCCAGTACATAAGTTTCGATATCCTGATCAGGTAATTATCCGGATCCACCATACGGAAATTCAACCCAAACTTCAATCCAAACAGATCAAATTTTGCAATCGGCACCAAACCTGATCCGGTGCAAACCGCCTCGCAAAAACATTCAATTCTTCCAACCACCAACCGAAAAAGGAAAAACAGAAGTTGCCGGAAGTAAATTCGCAGGGCGATGAATTGGCACCGTAAAGACTAAAGAACCGAGGAACAAACTAAACAAAAGTACTGATTCTTCACCTCGTCCAAGAAAATAAATCATCAGGCAAAGTCAAAAGAAATGGATAAAACTAGAACAGAATATTCCATTCACGACCCCAAAAAAAAGAAAGAAAAAGAAATCCCCCGACGAACCAGGAAAAACCGCGGCCTCCGACGGCTCCGGCGATCAACCGATCAACTGAATCAACCGATATCTTGAACCAAGATCACGCGATTCCCGTATTAAAAAATAAAACGGGAGGAGGAGAAGAAACCGAAGATCAAAAACCAGAAGGATTAACTTGGAAGCACTAAGCTAACCGAGTTCACAAGAAACGGAAGAATCCAAAGAACAAGGAAACGGGAAGGGCGAGGAATGGCGTACCGCCGAAGCGATTGACGGAGCGACGGAGGATTTGGTGGCGACCTGCTCCGCCGAATCCGCGCCGGGCATGACGGCAGCGAAGTGCGACGAAGGACCTCTCTCTCTCTCTCTCTCCCTCCAACTAGCGGAAATTCCAAGGCGCGCGCGCGCGAGCTCCACTGCCGCCGCCGCCGCCGCCCCCGACGCCGCAGATCGACACTGCAAATCGGATTTGGACTCGGATGAGAGAGAGAGCGAGAGCTCTAGAGAGAGAAAACGAAGCAGTAGAGAGAGAGAGAGAGACGATGGAGAGGAAGAAGGGAGAAGAAAGGTATTTGAAAGCGAGCGACCACTAGCACTGCGTTGCTCTCTCTCGCCGCGAAATGTTTTTTTATTCGCTTTTTTTTAATTGGTATTTTAATTTAATTCCCTTATTTATTCCATTTTATTTTATTTTATTTTATTTTACGCTCGCGGTAAATAAATTCTTGGTGCGAACCCGTACGTTACCGCCGCGCGCTAGATTTCAGTAGATTCTGTCCGCGTACGTACGCCGCCCCCGAACCCGACAGTATTCTCGGGAGTCGCGCTGCGAAGGTGTTGAATTACTCGTATTTTACGGTTTGGCCCCTAAAAAATGCTGATTCTTTCACTTACGTCCCTGCTTTTGTCGACGTGGCTTCTACCCGGACCTCCGATTCTTTCCCACCTTTTTCCTTAGCCAACTTCGATTATTTCCGCAAAAGCCCGACAACATACGCTGCATTTTTTGACCTAGAGAAAAAAAAAAATTGGGGGAAATTCGCGAATTTTAAATGAATTTTTCTTTTTTTTTTCTCTTTTTACTCTTTGGGTGTTCTAGATTATTCAATATCAACTGTTTAGACTTGTTGACTTTCTTGTTGTGGAGAGTTAGAAACCTTTGTTGTTGACTAGCGGATCCACGTGCCTCGTGTGTACACATACTTGGGATAATCAGAGGCTGATCGAGATATTAATTTTGGTTTCTTCCCTACTTTTTAATGGTGAAAAATGCAGCATCTAGTTCAAAAAAAAAAAAAAAGTTTCAAGTGACCATTCTAGCTGGCCACGGAATCACGTTAAAATTTTCCTTCCCATAAGGAAAAAAAAAAAAAAAAAGGGCCCGGAGCATAGTTCAAACACAATCCAACATTGCCTGCAAAATTCGAAAAATTCATCTACTGATGATGTTCCTAACAAAAATCCGCGGAGGATTCATGTATCGAGCTCTACGATCGAGCACGACAATATTTCTTGCCAAGAGAAAGAAAAAACGAAACAAGGAGATTCATTGCCGTGACATTGCATCTCTCAAGCATTAAAGCACCGGGGCAATCAATGCGGCATGTCGTGGCACATCGAACTCGTGTCCATACCCAATATTAACGCATTAATCACACGGATTAATGCGTAATTTGCCTCTGATACGGTCATTAAAGTTTGCAGAATTCTCTGTACGGAGGCCGCGTGTAGAAATATCTAGATACGAATGCAAAGAAAACTCATCATTTTATTTTGTTTTTTGGTCTCGTGAAGTCGTCAATTAGGTTTTATTAGAAAGTCACATCACTTAAATCTAATTCGAATTCCCCTTGACCATGCACGAATCTTTGGTTTCGGGGAAGAGGTCAATCGAGAACTTTTGAAACCAAAGGACCGACATGTGCAAGCGTGTACCGAGGAATCGGTCCCTCAAATTGAAATCTGGATGCGACAATGATGCACCCAATAATTTATGGAGAAATATATATATAATCCGGAGCTTATTCAATTGGGGTTGTTAATATTAATTAATGAGTGCTTCTCCGGTCATTAGATCCAGGGGATATATAACATAGACTTAAAGTACTGGTGGGAATCGTTTGGCACTTATTCTCGGTTTGGATTAGTGCCTTTCCGCATACTGGGCCTACTTTTTCTTAGGCGGGATTGCCTCAACAAACGCTTTCTTTCTCGAGATTTTGAGTATAGCGAAACGACTTTTTACTCTATGGAAGGGTTGAGTAAGTATTCTTAGACCCTGGCACTCCCGATCAAGCTATGCTTTCGAGATTGTTTCCTTATTACCGATCAGGTTACGTCTGATCAGGACCATCCGCGGATCATCTGTTAAGGATGAGTGCACTTATATTAATGAGTTAGCCCCCCATTAGCGTGGATTCTATGCGAGCGACTCATTGCCATTGGAGAGAGATTAGTTCTCACATGTGTGTGTCGGTTGCTTTTGTATTATTTATTAAGCAAATATACGCAATGCCAAAACTACAAAGGTATTGAACTGCCATGACATTTAAAGTAAGCTTGATTATCGATTTAGACCAACAGACAACTGAGTCTATATTAAGCTCAAAAGGTAAATGAGCAAGCTTGAAAAGGTACCACATATGTAGAAACTCAACCTGTGACAAGCTTGGGCATGTCTAGCGAGCGACAGTTGACCCGACTTGAGAGTCTAGCACTCAACTTTCTGACCGGGTGTTATCTCAAGTATAAATATCAAACGAGGTCAACCAACATGCATGAACCATGTGGGTGTTGCAAATATCACCATAAAAGTAAAAGGAGGGGCAGCAAAAATGGAATTTGAGGTAGTGAACAGCATGCAAATTGCAATCAAGAAATGGTAGATAAAGAGGATACGGAATCCCACAAATGATAGGAATATGTACTCATCAACTTAATTATGGTTGATCGAAGTACTTCATCACATTTATGGACGGATTAAGAGGGGTTGGAGGGGCCCCAGCCCCTAACTTTTAGATGTTATGCCTAGATCTCGGCATTTCTTTAAAGTTCTACATGTTGGTCAATTAATCTCGGCCCTGCTAAAATTTTCAAACTTCTTCACATCACTAACTTTAAGAAGTATTCTCCGAATTGAGAAATAATTTGCTTGGGTAAGGGCGAAATGATTGAATTTAACCACTAGGTCTATCTCAATTTTGGCATCACCGATATCCATTAAAAACTTACACACTATCAGCTTATTATAAGAGATTCTTAAGAAACTAGTTATAAAATTAAAAGCTAGTGATGGAGGGAACAAGAGTTAAGAGCCATTTATCCATCAAAAGATCATTAAGGTAGTCACGATCTTACTCCAAGTCCATGCCTGACCACAGTAAAACCAAGCACCAATGGATCTAAGCAGAACAAGGCCTGAAGACCAAGGAAAAATTATTTAATCAGTTATAAACCCGTTGTACGGATGTCAATTCAGTCATAAACTTTTCAATTTTACCAATCTTAGTTTTAAACATTTTCGCGAAGTTCTAATGTGGTCTTTCCGACCAATTTTCATCGAAAATCACTGACGTGGCGATCCAGTCATCACTGGCCGTCCTACATGGCACACCGTCACGACAGCGATTTCCAGCGAAAATTAATCAGAATGACTAAACTGAAATTTCGAGCATAGATTTATGACTGAATTGGCAAAATAAAAAAGTTTGGGATTGAATCGGCATCCGTACAATAGATTTATGATCAATTGGACAATTTCCCCCGAGACCAACAACACGGATTTATGTTAGACCACAGATGATGTGTGGAAATGGAGAGGAGTCGTTTTCTCTTTCGCAGCATCGGTCGTCACTTGCCAAAGAGGACGGTGCGCTCTCGAGTTCTATTGGCTTCCGGTAGTCTAAGGAGTCGGATCATCTGGGTAAAATGCCCCGTGATGAAAATGGGAGAATTGATTCGCACTAACGTAAACATCCATTGGGTTTTTTCCTATGGAAATTTTGGGCGTGCAGTGTTTTGAAAGCACAGAAAGAGAATATTCCTTCGGCATAAGAATGAACCGGGAGGTGGTGATGAATGACCTTTTTTTTTTTTTTTATCACAATCGTTGTCAAACTATACATGTAAAAGCGAATTAGTATTTCATAAAACACGATGACATAAAAATACGTCATATGCTAGTTTTCATTAATACATGTATAAAAGGTTTAATATTTCTTTTAAGGATGGGAAAATTGTCCAAAAAGTCGTGAACATATTGCACTTTGACCAATTCAGTCCTACACTTTTCAATTTTGCCAATTAAGTCATAAACCGTTTCACGTTTTGCCAATTGAGTTCAACTGATCAATTATGGCCGGAAATTGATAACGTGGTCGCCGACGATCCCACGTGACATGACTATGGTCGACATTGACATTTTAATTAATTTATTTTTATTATTTCTTTTCTTTCTTTTTGGCTTGAGGGCTTGACCCTCGCTAAGACTAGGCGAGGGCGTCGAATTGCCTGGATTTGGTGAGGGCGTCGTGCACCCTCACTTTGGGATGAGCAACGGGCAAGGGCGGCGATGCCCTCACCCAGTGCCGGCGAGGGCATCCAGCCCTTAGGCCAAAAAGAAAAAAAAAGATAAAACCAAAAAAATTATTTAGAAATGTCCACATTAGCCCCGACTATCGCCGGCAACCATGTCATCAATTTCCAATCGAAATTAATCGGATGGACTCAATTAGCAAAACGTGAAAAGGTATAAGACTCAATTGACAAAATTAAAATGTTTATAATTGAATTAGTCAAAATGTAATAGATTTATGACTTTTCAGACAATTTTCCCTTTAAAGATTCACTAGAAATACATGAGAAATTAATCTAGTAACAACATCAGCATACCCGACAAAAGTAGCGGTTACATGGTTAAGTTTGCAATAGACAATTTGAAGGGTGGAGACTAAATTTCAGATTACAACTTTATATTAAGTAACCATTAGAAGTACGAGTTCTCGCTTGAATTGTTTGGAGGGAGCTATATAAGGAACTTAGGAATAACGGGATCGAGAGAATTTCTCCACCTTCCTAACCTTGCCCCGCTCTTCAAGCGTCGAATTAGTGTTGGAAGAATTGGGTTCAAGTGCATCCTATTCACGAAAATAAATTATACCGTTAGACCCTCGCATGATCATATGATTTATTGAATTTAGTGAACTACATGCCTGCACAACGAATTAACCCAATGAAAATACCTAAACGACCCCTCCAAACCCAACAGCTCTATCCACCCTTTATTATAGGTCATTAATCGGCGGGATATTTAGGACGCGAATGATAACCATCCTCTTCCAAAAACAATTCCTAGAACATAAACATATTTTTCTATTTCTGTTCCCAGGACGAGTTTCTAAGAAAAAAAACCCGTTTGATAACAGCATAAAATTTATATTTTCTGGAATAAAAACCCGTTTGATAACAACACAAATTTCTATTTCCCGGAACAGAAATCCATTTTTTTAGAAACCCTTTTGGGGATTTAGGGTTTTTAGGGGTTAAAGCCTCTTTTAAATCCCTAAACTAAGGAGTCTTAAAAAATACCATTTGGACACCTCAAAAATTTAAATTTCACTCAAAATGGGTGGCCATAGGTATTTTAAGCCATCCCGTAAAGTTTTGAAATTTTTTATTTTTTGATTTTTTTGAAAAAATTCACTAAATTTCCTATTTTCCCAAAATCTGAATTTTTTTATTTTCTGGAAATTTTTATGAATTTTTCTGGAATTTTTCAATTTTTATGGATTTCATGAAATTTTTTTTGAGATTTTTAGAAATTTTCCAGATTTTCTAAAAAAAATTTATGAAATTTATGATTTTTTTGATTTTTTTTTTCCAATTTTTCTGAATTTTCTATTTTTTTTTAATGATTTTTCTAATTTTTTGTAGAATTTTTTTTTTCCCGCCGGGAATGAACCGGTTCGAATCGGTATGACTTGGTCAAATTTAGGAAGAGATGTGTTTTGAAGAGAGAATACAGGTTTTTTTAAAAATAGTTTTCATTTCTCATTCAAAAACAGAAAACCTACTTTTTTTTTGTTCTGATTTTTGGTCCAGAATCAGTTTTGGAACAAAAAGTTGTTCTAGAAATAGAAAAATGAAATTGCGTTACCAAACGGATTTCTGTTCTAAACCTGTTTCCGGGAACAGAAAACTAGTTTTGGATAAAAACAGAATGGTTATCAATTCGCGCACTTAATGTCGACATGACATACTTCTATTAGGTAAGGCGATGAGGAAGAAGAGAAGAGAGTTCGGACTCTCTGGACCGCTTAACTTGATTTATCTCCTTAAAAGACATTATCTAAAAATGATGCGATGTACGCCGATCTCGAAAAATTCAATCGAGAATTCAATTCGCCCCTCAAATTGGGTCGACCGAGAAGGACCCACGTTCGAGGAAACATTGATTTGGAAGTCTTTTCGATCTTGGTGTGAACGACTTGTTCTTTGTGTGCCTAGAATTACCCACCAAGAAAGACCACAAAAAGAAAAGTAAGAGGTAGAAAGATTCAACCCAACTCAAGCATTCGATTGGATAGGAACCGTCGTGGGCAGACACGGCGGGTGGCGAACGAGAAGAGTAGGAACCAAACCTGAAATCGATGCGAAAGACTTCTGACAATTGGGCCCCCCCCCTTCGAAGCCGATTTCCACTTTGGTCCGGGGTCAAATTGAGAATTATAATTGTTTGGGCCCCATTGAATAAAAATAGCGAGTTTCGGAGCAAACGAAGGTACAACTTTGTCATACCCGCAAATACGTCAAAGTAGAGGGGCCAGCTCTTCAATTAAGAAGAAATTGCAGCTGTTTTTTCCTTCGTTTCGAAAGCATCGTCCGATCTAAATTCCGCAATATATTTGTTTTACTAGGGAATATTATTTTTCCCTCGTGGACGGCTCTTGTCTTTTGTACGGCATACAAAGCAATATATTTGTTTTACTAGGGAATATTATTTTTAGTGTCGCATAATCCGTTGACATCCTTTGTTTTTTTTTTATTCTCCGAGTGGAGCATGGCGCTACGCCCATCACAAAGTTTTTTTTTTTTTTATAACCCAGGGAACCCCGCACGACCGACAAATGTGAGGTAGGACCTCCTGAGGCGACACGCGCGCATCCACCACACACGTGCACCGGTAAGTCAGCCGCCCGCGGCGCCGGGATTCGAACACCCAACCTTTGCGAGAGGAAGAAGTGCTTTCCAGCAAGAAATACACCTGGGCCAGGGTGGTCGCCCATCACAAAGTTAGATGATATGTCAATGAAAAAAAGAGATTTCGAGTTATCAAAAAAGATAAAAAGGATGATCATTTCCTGCGAAACGATGGAGGGTAATTATTCTTTGAGTAGAGCAAGTGGGTCCGTGGGTCGTGCTATAAAGTTTAATAGTTAGTTTTTTTTAATATTTTTTTTATAAAGGTTAGCTTTGAAATGAATGAAAAGCGAGTCACGTAGAAGATAATCATCACGTTCATTCTTTGTTGTGTCGACAGCCTGCTTGTTTGGGATTAACAAATTTTTACTTTCCCGTTACGTGGGTTTCTAATGTCAATTTACATGTTAACACTTATATCGTGAAAATATCAGATATCCCGAATAAAAAAATTCGAAGTGTATGAATTAGGGGTGAGCATGATTCCAGAATAGAATTTGAAACCTGAGAACCTAATCTGTGGAAACCTGTAGGTTCCAGGTTCCAAGGTATGCAGGGTAGATTTCAGATTCAAAAAATTGGAGAAACTTGTTTCAACCGGTAGGTGGAACCTGGAATCAGAAACCTAAAACCTAAACAAGTTTTTTCTTGGTCTATGTCTTCGCGTGATCCTGCAGTGTTTTATGGCGTTAAATGATGAGTGTATAATCTGGAACCACTAGTATGAGTTTTCATTTTATGAAAATATCATAAAATGAAAACTCATACTAGTGGTTCCAGATTATACACTCATCATTTAACGCCATAAAACATTAACAGCGAGTGGTGGTCATTAAATGTGATGATTTACTGTAATTGTTCAATTAATAATACATGTGAAATTTGGGTAAACCCTGAAATCTGTGACGAGGGTAGATTCCGGATGGAACTTGGAACCGCCCACCCTTAGCCTGAATCGCAAGACTTTGATCGAGCAGAAAGCTGAAAAGATCGATCATCTATATTATGATTAAATAATTCATGAAAAAGAAAATTCATTTTTTATGACGCCCTTGGAGGGATAATTTGCTTGTAAGAATCATGCATGCTTTCATAATTTTCTCTTGGACTCTCCTTCTCTTATTTGTAATCATCTTTTTCCCTCTTTGATTTTGACGGCCTTCTTAGGAATTCATCCTCCTTTCCAATTGGAGGCCAAGAGATTTTCCCCCCCGCCCCTCCCCGTCATCCCCGCGCCAGCCATCCGGATCATCCGTACAGTTCCTCCCCCGCCGCGATGCCGACGCGTGTCCCGCAGGCACCGGGGCGCTCGACACGTGGACGAATCCCAGCGGGGCCCGCCCACGCCCCCATAATGGAGGAGGAGGAGGATTTTCTCGGAGGAGGGAGCTCTCCGATCCGACACTCAATGATGTACGGACCGGGCCAGGCCATCGCGCGCCCTGCGCGCCACGTGGGAGATCGGACGGCCGAAAGTGCCGCCGCGTCATAAGTGGGTCCCGGAACACCCGGGGCGTGTGTGTGGTGGGTCCCCCAATCGAACGGGGGGAGGGGCAATGATTGAGCTTTTTCCTTGATTGATTGAGAGGGACGAATTCGAAAATCAAAACGGAAATGAAGTCGCGCATCATCGGAATTCAAAAAAATTGCTCGACAGGCATCGCTTTCGATCGGATTCTTGGGCATTCGTGTTTTCGTCGGGTTTCGCGTCTTGGAAAAAGCTTTTGGCTAAAAAAAAACTTAAATTGGACCGTGCATTCGAGTTTCGAAAAATCTCTCTCCCGATGAGGTTTGGTCGGCCCCCCAACAAAAGAAAGAGAGATCGAAAACGTTTGGCTTTTGTTAAGATTTTACTGTTCATAAACTGGACAAGGTGAAGGAATAACCCCTTAGGGTTCCCCCTGAAAAAAAAAAAGGCCATTTGATTTCCGGGGGCGAGTGGTTGGCGTTTTGCGCCGCCTCGGCCCGGTTAGGTTTGATAGATGTAGAAAACGTGATGAGATGCATCGACCGTCATCTCCAGAAGTTCGATAGTTTACGCTGATATTCGTAATTCATCAATGGGGTTAGCGACGATTTTACGTTCCGGTTCAAGGTTCGACGTGCCTGATTCATGTAATTTGCCGAGAAAAAAGGTTATGTCTTCACATAAAAGTGCACAAGGGCAAGCATTGATTGTCAAAGTTAGCGTTCTCCGCTTAGGAAAGGATTTTTGTTGACGAGCGTTTCATGGGCATTTGGCTAGTAATTGTATAAAAAATTAATAATGCCATTTGCATTTAGCTAGTGACTGTATAAAGAAATAATAATACCGTTTTCGATTGTAACTATTTCGATCGCTTCATGTGCGATCAATTTCAAATGCTCGCAATAACTTTCTTATTTAGTTTTCGGTAACTATTATGGAATGGTCATTAAATATAGCATATGAGGCCGCAAGTGCATGAACAGTGCCGCTTAATTATAAGAATAAATTTTTCGTATTCTACACAGTCTGTCTACACGTTTTACTTTTCGTCATAACCGACGTTCATCATCAGTTTTTGTTTTTTTTTTTTTGGGATTGAAACGTATTCATCATCGATTGATTGAGTCGGTTATAGTTTGAAAAATCGAACGCCGTATCCTCCAATCAATTGCGACCGTGTACCTAGAATTCCGCACAAAGGAAAACATCACCAACAAAGTAAAGCACGACTCTGTTGCTGTCTAATCGCGTGCCGTCCTTGCTCTCTCAACGAGCGACCAGGGAAAAAATGGCAAAAAACGAGAAGAGAGCGCACCAAACCACCAAAAGCCAAAGGGCCCAGCGACAATGGAAATGGAGATTGCAGGAGGAGGAAGGCCCATCGTAATCAATCCATGCTTGCCTAAAATGGGGTTGCTCATTCGGAAAATAATAGGAAGAAAAGCTCACTCGAAGTATCTACATGCACAGACATTTTCAGAAGTCGATTGCGGAAGCAAATTCTAAGCGAATTAAACGGGCCCGGAACTATGATAAATCCCGATCCCCCCGCCGGCCGGCCGGCCTTGATTAATGGGAAGGGACGTGGTAGTACTTGCCCTTGCACATGCACCGGTAGACCACCGGGCACGACTCAGTCGTGCACCGGTAGCTCACTATCACCCTCTTGCACGGCATGCACGGCCCGCACGCGTGAGAGCAGTCCGGCAAGCTCGACCCCGTCGGCAACAGCTCCGCCCCGACTCCTCCCTTCGTCTTTTCCTGCACCAACAAACGTCGAGCGATAGCGGCTCCGTGAGATTTTCGTACCTAACGTCACGTATCTAATGGAAATTCCAAAGCAAGACACGGGTGTGTTATGTAGATAACGCACCTTCGCGACGCTGTCGACGTGGTCTCCGTTGACGTCCGCCTGTTCACGGGAGCTTGCTACAATGAATCGGATTGAGAAGGAAAGGGTGAGACCGCTTTATAAATCGCGGGGTGATTGCGCGTGTTAGAAAACGAAAACGTATTGCGATTTCAATCTAGGAAAGGTGCACTTGAACATATCAAATCTAGGGTGAGACATGATCTTCACCATACATGTCACAAAGGTATAAACTATAGGAGAGTGTGATGAATACGCTTACAAGGATGAGGATTCATCCGAAGTCCGTCGCAACCCAACATCACTGCCGACAATAGGAGGAGAATGGTGAAAGCAACGTGGGCTCCGAATGAAAAGATCTTCGTCATTTGATCCCGGCTCTTGTTCTTGTAGCTAGCGACAGCTGCAGTACAAAGGTCGAGAAAATTGAGGAAAAGGGTTATGGTAAACAGAAGGTGAGAAGAGGCAAAGAAAGCTGCGTGGGTTAAGGACGAGGTAGTGACATTATATATATGTGGGGAGGGAGCGAAAGAGGGGTTATAAATGAGGGAGGAGAGGGACATGGACACCTGATGAAACTCACATGATCCACGGCCATCTTTTGAAGATCTCAAATGGGTCCGTGAGTCCCCCGAAAATTTTGCTTACCAATTTAATATAAGAGTTCAAATATGTTTGCTACTAATGACTCGAAGAAAGTGTGAATTACTTTTTCCATATCGCGTGTTATTAGCATGTGCATTCAAGGGAGATATAGACAGTTTAAGAAGATCGAGTCGGGCAACGTCCTATATTGCTGGGTCATGTTTTCTTTTGGCTGATACCCACGTAATTTGTGCCTTAGAAGACGAATATATGTGCCCAGGGGTCTAAAATGAGTTCTTCAGGAGAATAGTATCCTCATGTCAATTGATTCGATTTATTAATAACCCTTGAGATTGTAGCATTTTTTGTCCAGAGACGTGTGTCACGATTTCAAAAGGTGGATGGAGTTGTTTATCTTTAGGGATCTCATTTCCTCCTTGATTACTCCCTTAATTGGAAAAACTCGGTACAAACTCGTGCTACTTGAATTGTCGGAAACGAATAAAGGACACATTGACCATAGCAGTCCAAGAAGCTCTATAGGGTTCTCACTCTAACTATTGCGCCGGTCGAAGCCTAATTTTCAAACGCATTGTTAATGTTAATTCTGTGAAAGGAATCGGTTTTACAAAATGATGACAAAGTGAAAATATTTCTAGCTATAGAATCTCAATACCATTTTGAGATTTCCATCAAGAGAACATATTCTCAGTGGATCGAAGAAGCAGGGAGAAACTATCATATGCATCGGCGATGCCGAGTGTTTCGTTAAGGTGATAAGACCTGTAGTGTAGTAGTAAGATAAATTACGAGATGCCGACGGTGCGTTAGCCACTTTCTTCAAAGCGCGCAGGAAGAGTCGCACTAATATTTCTTAAGTACAGCACGAAGCTGTCCTAAGATTGAGGTGAGAAGCGCCCCCCTAATAGTGGTTTTAGTTGCAAATGCAACGGCACAAGGGGGTGTGCAGATGAGGAGGTTCACGTGGATAGGTTAAAAGGGATATGAGACAAAGACGTGCTCTGTCGATTAGCAATTGAAGAAGACGAACCCCAGCCAATGTCACAAACGTGAACATCAGTCTCCGACTTAAATGAACTGCAAAGCTCTTCGTCTTCCCTGCCTTTTTTTGGCGAGAAATGTACAGTCGCTTTTTTTCTTTTTTAACTGCTTCATTGTACCCGTGTCATCTATGTTATGCTCCAATGCCCGTGCGTTCATGTCCTTTTAAGAGGGATAGCAATAGTAATAATTATTCAAGGGGATACTTGATTTTCATGGGCATGGAGACCCGACTGTCTAGAAGCTCATAGAACACCCTGCAGCCACATGAACTAGTTAAGTCTAAGCTTTAGGCTTTGTATAGATGACTTTGACCTAGAATAATTTGCGTGAGGTGGGTGGAATTCGAACAAGGCGACTTCTAGTTTCTAAACTGGAAATTTCCAAACTCAATGAACCGCGTGTATTGATAAGGTTATGTTTCACTGAAAAGTGTTGACGAAATACCTTTCGAAGTATGGATCGATGAGAAAATCGACAAAGGTGTGAAGGGTTCTTTTGTTGGACTGGAAATGCAAACGATGAGAACATTGAAAGTACCGAAACTGAAAATGATCGTGTCAAGCCATGTAAAGGTACTAAAAATGTAAAGACGAATAGGAAGATAAAATCGAACAATCGGTGTTCTTTGATCAATTGGCTTCTCTTTTTACAAACCGCAGTTCGAGTATTTATACCTACTATCGATAATTAACAATAGTTATAAAGAAATCAAAAGCATTCTACATGGCTCCTATAATTCAGCGAATCCTACTTAGAAAAAGGTTACTCAACAATTACCGATTCCACCGCTTGATAGTCATGCCTTCTCTACTACTTCAACGGCTGTGTCTCCTTCTCTTCTCCGCAATCGCTACTATTAGTTTCTCGCGGACTTCTCAACTCCACTACTGGACAGTTGCGTTGAATTTTCCTTTCACAGATGTCTCTTTGACAGTTGCATTTGAGATTATCGACTCCAACACTTGGATGGTTACTTCATCCTTACTCTGTTGACTGTTACATCAACCGTGGCCTTCTGTCACTTGAGTCGACCTTCATTCGTCGACATTCGACTCTTGGACTTGACTATTTTCACTTATACCCTTTGTTGGGTAAAACCAGTATTCTTGTCGACTAACGGAATTTGCTGACAAGGGCTTTGGACACTTACCCGATTCTCGTCTTTCTAGTCCGAGTCGACGATCAAAGATTTGGGCATTTTTTGGTGTCAACCGGTTATAAGGACAAGCATCTATTTGGCGCAGCTGAGAGGTTAACTATTTACTTGTTACTTCGTCAAATGTTGCAGCGTCTGAGCCGGTGATAGCCAAATCTCTCAGTTGAACCTTATATTTGGCCCTTGGACTTCTTTAAAGCGCACAGTGGGAACGAAACACATGGCTGGTCCAGGATCTCTCTCTCTTCTGGGGATTCACAGGGCCTCTCTACTTGATTCCCGATCAACATAACCATGCAAAAAGCATCTTTTACCCTTATCTGAGCTTCATCCATTTCAGCTTGAGGATGACAAACTGTGTACAAAAATGTTTTCCTACTCTTTTGATTTTTTTTTTCATTTTTCGCAGACGATAGATAAGTGAAACTTTGTCGGCTATAATCATTCCACAGTCAAATTTCATATTCAGATTTCGACAAATTTGAAAACACTAAAGTTAATTCCGGAATTTCATTTGTGAATTTAGTTTGGTAAGTGGGCGTTTCACAGAAAAGTGTCAATCAAATATCCTTGAAGATGTTGGGGTCTGGTTCATACTTCCCATCGACAGAAAGACATGGGAGTTTCGGTCCCTGGTGAGCGGACGAGGCTTCGAGGGGGCCGCCTTGGCGGGGTCGTAGGGGGCAACAATCCCGCGACGCCACAGGACTTTTATAGTTTGGGCTCGTATTTTATTGGTAGTTTAGGTTTGGGCCCATGAATAGCTACTTGGTATATATAATATCTTTATCATGTAATTGAATATTGTAATAAAGAGGTATGATGTGCTAATTATATTGGATCCTTTGCTGGATGTAGCCATAATTTAAGGGTGAATTAGGAAAAATCTTGTATCACAATTTCTCTTTCTCACTTTTATTCTCTATTTTGTTGTGTTTGTGCGCCTATTCCTAACACAAGAATGTGAATGGATTGATGTGAATCGACAAAGGTTGCAAATGGTCATTTATTGATTTTGGACATGAGAGTAAATAACAAGAAATTTAAAAGGTATAGAGACTGAAGGCAATCGCGGCTAGTCATTTAAATTATGAAAAAGTATAGATAAAAATAAATTTGTAAAGAATGTTGAGTTCTGTGATTGATTGTGGGTCTTTACACTACAATGTGGCTATGTAAAGACTACAATCGACGGTTACAAAACAATTATTGAATTTGTAAAGATAACTTCCTAATCCTATCTTCATAACAAACAGCTTCCTAATCTTATTTCTAGTTACAAGAAGTTACAACTATACTTATCCACGAGAAGTTATAAAATCCAAAAATAGTGGCAATAAACATAACTACCCAGCCGTTACCTATTATTTAGTAACACTTATCTAACAGAAGTTACATATATGAAGATATCACTACTCAGCAGTTACCTGTCGATGTCGATGACTACATCCCTAGTGAGGGTTCTTGTCGATAAATGATATTTGTTGTCGAAAACTTTCTTGGCAAGTTGTTGATTTTCTTAGAATTGTCGATGTTCTTTTAGTTGGATTGTTTTTTTTTCTTCGATGACTTTTGTTGTTCACCAAATTCTGCTATTATCGATTGAGTTTGTCACTTGTCGAAATGCAAATTGCATTTGGTAAATTTTTTTTTTGTAAAGCTACCTTAACCTAAGTAGTGTTTGATAATTTTTTTTTTTCGCAAAGGGCTTTTGGGTTTAATTTTTTTATTTTTTTAAAAAAAATCAATCCTTTCGCTAGCTCCGACAAAGGGCTAAGCCCACTGGCGAACCATATCTGGTGCCGGCGGCCCTCACCCGAGGTCATGCGACCCCAAGCAACCCTTGTTGGGGTCGCGTGACCCAAGCAACCGTCGCTTGGGGTCGCCCGACCTCGCCGGCCTGATCTAGCCTTGTCAGCCCTCGTGTAAAGAAGATGAATAGTAACAATGATGGGCAAAACCGAAAAACTAAAGAATTGATGAGGGTAGTTTTGGAAGAAAAAAACTAGTTTAGCATTCGACCAAATGTTGGTCCTCTTTTAGCTTTTCCAAGGCCAACATTTGGCCGAAAGCCCCTTGGGAAGGCTTGCCTAACACCCTAGCATTTCCCCAAGGGGTTTTGGAGGCCGAAAGCTCATTGGAAAAGCTAAACCAAATGCACCCTTAGTCCTAAACTTTTCAAATTTGCTGATTTAGTTCTAAACTTTTGCGTGAAATTCTGATATAATCCTTTTGGTCAATTTTTGCCAGATGTTGTTGACAAGGATGGCCATTGATGATTAGATCACCCATGAGCAATTTCTGACGAAAATTGACTGGAATGACTACTTTGGAATTTTGTGTAAATGTTTATGATTAAATTGGCATAATCGAAATATTTATAACTGAATTGGCATCCGTATAATAGGTTTATGACTGATTGGGTAATTTTCCCTTGTATACTTGGGTGAAGATCCTTTTAGAGTTTAGCTCCTCATTCTTCTTCAGCGTGTTCTTCTTAAGCATCTTTGAACACCATCGATTTAATGTTAAGTCTAGCTTCAAAGTCTCGTGTATATGAAGAGTCAAATGAAATGTTTTTCAATCTTAAATTAGTCTTCTTTTCGATTATATAGAATATAGTATCGTTGCAAGTCATAGACGGGTTAGAAGTAAAATCTTTAAAGATTGAAGTCCTTACGAAGCTG